CCCTATGGTTGGAGAAACAATGGCACAAATACTCGACAGTAAATTATGTATGGAACAGTTGCATGTCTAGCCGGGCCTTTGCATGGGGGGGGGGGGGGGGGGACATGTGAGCTAATTTGACTATCCATGTATTCAGAGAGAAATTAATTGTTTAGGGCCCTATACAGATTCGAATGGAACTTCAAAATCTGTAAATTATATGATTTAAAACAAAATTGATATTATATTAATTGTTTTAAAATACGTAATTTCATTCTTTATGTAGTGAATAAAAGCTTCTTTTAATTAATTATAATGGCTAATGGGGTTTACCTTCTTAGAATGTAGGTGAAATTCTTTTTGTCTGAATTTTTTATATTTTTTTATGAAGCTTAGCTTCTGAATCTATTCTTATCATCACGATTTGATAATTCGCCTTGCGGCCGAGCAGAATTTTTTTGAGAAAGTGTCCATAATTTATTTATGTTTTCACGATATTTAAAGAAATTATTTGCCTCGCAATAATTCGTTCACTTTACTGAAAAGCCATCCCCCCTTTTTTTTTCTTGGTTTAAAATTGTTCGGGGATGGAGGGGAGTAGTTTGGCCCCCTCCCTTCATCGGTTCGGAACGTACTTTCCTCGCATCTATTCACTAAATAAATCAACCTTCGGCATTGTGCTGGATCTACTCAATCTGAGACTTGATGATTTGATGGACAGAATTTCTGACGTGACAGATCACAACAGCTAGCACTGACTGTTGCGATCTTTCACGTCAGAAGTGCAGCTTTTCTGCAGAAGATTTTTTTTCATTCCTATTCTGAAAGCTTTAAGGCAAAGGCAAGATCATTTTGTTAAGATCAAAAGTTTCTGTAGCCTTAATTGAAACGCCATGTTGACCCAGGATTTAACTACCCACAACGCTCTTGACATTGAAACACAGATTATGTTTCTACCTGCTATGCATATACTGGTATATCACCTTACAAGAATCTGTGTGGTTCTGACGTGAATGGCATCCACGGGCTTACTATTCTTTTGCTTCTGGCTATAACTAGAAGGCTAAGTCTACTCCAAAAATAATTTGCTTTTAATAGATGTAAGAAAACAAGAGAAACGGAGCACACGCAAACATGAGTAAAATCGGATAAGGAAGTTATAACTTTTTTAAAACTATGAACAAATATTGAACTTAGAAAATCATTACACAAATTGCCAATTTGGTTATCAGTTTGTGTTGTCATTGCCTCACTATTTACCAATTGCTTTATATATTTTTATCCCATTGATTTCCCTTTTTATGCTCAAAAACTTTATTTCCCCATGCCCTTGCCAGGTAATTATGATTTGTATCATATTGCTTGCATGACATTTCACAAAATCTGTTATGAACTTTGAAGAATTGATACTATTTTCTGAATACCGATCAATTTCCATTCAATCCACAAGGGCAGCCCACCACAACGGTCACTACTGGGAGTGCCACTTCCAGTACCAGAGCCTCCCACACGATGAACGTCATTAAAGATCGGCAGCCACAATATCACTTTCATTGCTGTACGATCAATATTTTCATCAAGTAAAACAAGGAAAAGCCATCCATGTAAATACGTTCGTGTTTTTGTTTTGACTTTGAGACTTATATCGAATTGTTTGACGCTGTTACTTGGAAGTTCTGACATTTAAAAACTTGTTTTTTGTGAAATTCACTTGACTTGGATGAATTTAGATTATTCTGGAATTTAAGGAGAAGGAATTTTATTCTGGTAAGTCATTCACCTCCCCCCCCCCCTTTTTATTTAATGTAGGTCTATGCTGCTGAATGCTCACAGTACATGTTTCTTTGTAATAGTGAGATGCAATGTCTCATGAGGGATATAAAACAGACATACAATGTCTTTCTTGGGTCCAGCAAGCTATCCGCATTCAGAGGCATAAAATAATATAGTAACTTTCCATTGAGGCAAATTTATATCAAATTTACTATGCACACATTAATTTGTGTTTAACTGTATGCTAAACGTGGAAGCTTCGTATTGAACAGTAGTAAACTCCCGAGACCTTGTAACCACACGCATTCGACGAAGGCTTGAACGATCTTGCATGGATCACAGAAAGTACTTAGACCAGTGAAGTTTGATTCGTTATTGAAGATGGGTAAACATGTATCAGATCTTTGTCACAGACTTCACCATTATCTGTTGAACATTGTCCGCATTATACCTAAACAGGAAAGCATATTAGGATACAATCCGAGCTGTTGTTTCATAAAGACTTGACTATGCCAACTATCTCTTTTATGGAGTCAATACGGCTCGGTGTAAAAATGTCAGTGGAAAAAATGTCAGAGGTAAAAATGTCAGAGGTAAAAATGTCAGAGGTAAAAATGTCAGAGGTAAAAATGTCAGAGGTAAAAATGTCAGAGGAAAAAATGTCAGAGGAAAAAATGTCAGAGGTAAAAATGTCAGAGGTAAAAATGTCAGAGGTAAAAATGTCAGAGTTTAAAATGTCAGAGGTAAAAATGTCAGAGGAAAAAATGTCAGAGGTAAAAATGTCAGAGTTTAAAATAAAAACAAAAGCATGTGACAAGATTGTTATGTTTACACCCGGGCTATATATCAGGCTTATCGAAAAAGAACAGCGAGGGATATTCTGCAGTCGTTATTTCACCGCTGTCTTATTGTATTGTATTAGTTAAGTCTTATTTTGAGCGTATACCAAGGTTGTAACTTGTAGAGGAATCATGTACTTTGAAGAATGCTATCAGTTGTCTGATGACCGCTTGCAAGGCGTGAAACTCGGAGTACACCATCCATGTCCCATTAGTCTGCCTTATTAAATATTTATATACCGGTATATTATGTTTTTGTATAAGCAAATGGTACTGGTACACTAAGCAAACTTCTAGGGAAAAGATTTCTAAAATCGATAAGTTTGGCCATGTTTTATAGGCTGAGTTGTCGCTCCATGGTGTAATCATTAAAAAAAAAAAAACAAGGTTATTTAATAAAAGGATCATGCGACAAATAATCATTGTGATTCAACTTGATGCAAGGATTTTTTTGAATAAGCAATGCTTTTCACCAGAATCTTCTTTGTAAAAACGACTTTTACAAATCTCAGCCATGCAAATCTGCCACTGTGTTGTAAGATCACTTTCAGATTAGGAGAAGTGTATTCTGTAATGAGTATTTTACATTGAATGGAACGTCTCAACTCAGTAAGCATGGCTGAGAATTGTAAAAGTTGTTTTTACAAAGAAGATTCGGGTGAATAGCAGTGCTTATTCAACCAAATATTCGCATCAATTTGAATCACAATCATTATTTGTCGCTTAATCCCTTTTAATGACCTTGTTTTCTTTCTCGTTTGCAAGGGGAGAAGAAGATTATGTCACGTTAAAGACATCATAAAGATCAGTGTTGTATGCGTATATATTATATACACAGGCCAGTAACAGCTATGTAGCTTGTAAATTTGTAAGAGGGAAAATGCTGATTGAAATGATAATGATGAAATAGCAAATAATTGAGGAGTATCATAGGTACCAATTCAATGGATATTTGTATAACAGAGAGCCCCCGTCAGTACTAAAAGAGCCCCCGTGAGAAGGCTCACGGGGGCTCTTTTTTGGGGGGAAGAGCCCCCGTGGACAAAAAATTAATTTGAGCCCCAAAAAATTAATTTGAGCCCTGGTTGTAGAGGAATCATGTATGCTATCAGTTGTCTGATGACCGCTTGCAAGGCTTGAAACTCGGAGTACACCATCCACGTCCCATTAGTCTGCCTTATTCAATATTTATATACCAGTATATTATGTTTTTGTATAAGCAAATGGTACTGGTACACTGAGCAAACTTCTGGGGAAAAAGATTTCTAAAATCGAGAAGTTTGGCCATGTTTTATAGGCTGAGTTGTCGCTCCATGGTGTAATCATTAAATAAAAAGAAAAGTCAGTACAGCCCCCAAAATAGGATCAGATATCTATGAACCTTCCCCCTCCTACTTCTCCTTCGTATTTGAAGATTGTTGGACATTTTAACTGCGTGGCAATGTCTACCATTATATGTAATTTCCAATAAATGCATATTTCCGACAATTCCACTTTCTTGAGGGCTTGGTATTTTGATACTCTGAAACAAGCAGAAAGCCATGTTATCAATGCTAACCGCACCATCACATTCCCGAAGTGCGCGCGTTGCAATAAAATATTGTCGATTACTATTGCGGTATAAAATAGTCTGGGAGAAAATCAATAAGCAGCTTTGTTACTCCGATACAAAGCAGAAAGCCGCCCATGTTACATCAATTAAAGAGAAGGTTGAGTTCTGGGGAAAGGTAAAAAAAAAATTATTTGTGAGCGTTCAATGCAAGTGTAATAGAACATCAAAGCAAAAAGTTATTCCCTGAAAATCTATTTCAAATGACTTCATATCCCAGATATAACAAGTAACATCTTTGTATGCCTGCCCGATTTGTATGCCATATGTTTGTGTAGTCCCATATCAATATCTTTCTGTTTACAGTGCTTGTTACTTTACCAAGACTGGGCCAAATTTTTTATCATTTTGATGACTCCAAAACCTTGCACTACACACCAATACTTACATGTTTATGCTAGATGATGAACCTTCTCTGATTGCTTCCCAAAAAAAAAAAAAAAAATCAAAATCTATTTTCCACATTATATTATCTTCAGGACATGTACGATATACAACACATCCATTTAGAAATGAATATAATAGACTAGCCCATGCAGTAGCTGTACGTCTTGACATTCTGAGTGATAAAGTGCTGAGATATTATGACGGCACTCATTTGTTTTGCTTGTACCTCTGACATTTTTACCTCTGACATTTTTTCCTCTGACATTTTTACCTCTGACATTTTTACCTCTGACATTTTTACCTCTGACATTTTTTCCTCTGACATTTTTTCCTCTGACATTTTTACCTCTGACATTTTTTCCTCTGACATTTTTTCCTCTGACATTTTTACCTGGCACCGTCAATACATCTCAGATGCAATGTCTTAATTCAGAGCGTGCAGAATCGCGCAGCAAAACTCATTTTCATGGCCCTTTGCTGAAGCTATAGAAGGGTCTACGAACTTATTCAAATGTATGGATGTTTCTTTCCTGGGGACCTAGTGACGAGTTATTCCATTATTAAACCTGATGTCTATGAACGAACTATAATACTAGGAATCCAATCTGCATACGTTACTTGTTGCTATGTGTGGCAAGCATATGGCAAGCTTTCAGGTTGTCAAGAACGACCTTTGTTAATAGGCATACAACAATCTGAATATTGTAGTAAACCGGCCTGTTGCATTGGCTGCCAATCAGACAACACATAGTGTATACGATCTTGACTACTGTATTAGAGCTATCAAAGGGCATCGATGCTACAATACGTTTGCTATAGGCTCTAACACTGATTATGATGTTTGCTGATACCTAAGGAGGACGTCAATGTATGTTTTTAACCATTTAACCAACTACAACAACCACAAATTGCAAAGTGAATTATGCAGATTATTATGCGCTATAGCACTTGATATTAGTATACTGCTACTGTAAAAGAGAACGAAAGAAGAATAATTAATTTGAATTTTCAGAGTTTCCAATGAAGGTGTATGCGATGGAAGGAATACATCATGAAGATCAATGGCGCTACATCATTATCCTGTCAAAGACTCTGTACCAATTCTTACACCAAGGCCTCTTTAAGTCTTTTGGAGTCATGATTCCTGCCATGGTAGCACAACTAGGTTGTTCTTACTCTGTCGCTGGGTTGATATCATCAATTCATTTCACCGTGACTTATATTATGTGTAAGTATAAGCCTCTGTATTAAGATATTGTCAAACTTATATCAAGAGGTTCAGAGATCGATATTATTATGCTTCTATGCCTGTCCACGATAGTGTTTATTGTGTAATTCAACCATATAATAATAATGAAAATAATAATAATAATAATATCGATTATAAAAATAATAATAATAATAATAACCACGATAATTTATACAGCGCATCTACTATAATATATGGATATATTCAAATACGAGATAAGCATATTACGATTATCTCGTAATTATGTATTATTATGCTTTATGGAAACCCGTAATTTATTATCTTTATTCCACGATCAACACGGCTATGCATAATTATGCTAAAGCTTGATAGCATTTATTCAATTCATCTGAACTTCTGTCAATAACATTGAACATTTTTTGTGCTTGTTAGAATTTGAAGAAAAAATCTTTCATTGGAAACGTGAGGTAAAATAAAACGATCTCTCTTTCTCCCCTTACAGGTCCGGTGGCACAACGTCTTGCTGGTAGATTTAGCAAACAAACCATAGCGGTAGCGGGTGGATGCATCTTTAGTTTATCCATCTCGTGTGTCTTCTTCACACAATCACCACTTATCATGGGCATTTTATTATCCTTTGCAGGTAGGTCATCATATATTAATGGTTTACATTTGTGTAGGTACATGTAATTACTTTGATTGCTACGATCACGAGTTTTAGCATGTGTTTTGCTAACTTCTTGGTCAGTGGTATAGTCCACTATTGAGTATGCTCGTGAACTGTTTCTCTCATGTTCTACAAGGAGGGAAAAAAGCAGAGAAGACATGCTACGGAGAAAAAAAACACAGGGCAATAGTTTTTCACCTCCCCCCCCCCCCCCCTACACAAATTCTCTATCTCTCTCTCTCTCTCTCTCTCTGTCTCTCACTCTCCCTCTTTCTCTCTCTCTCTCTCTCTCTCTCTCTTTCCGTCTCTCTCTCACTCTCTCTCTCTCTCTCTCTCTCCGTCTCTCTCTCTCACTCTCCCTCTCTCTCTCTCTCTTTCCGTCTCTCTCTCACTCTCTCTCTCTCTCTCTTTCCGTCTCTCTCTCACTCTCTCTCTCTCTCTCTTTCCGTCTCTCTCTCTCACTCTCCCTCTCTCTCTCTCTCTCTCTCTCTTTCCGTCTCTCTCTCACTCTCTCTCTCTCTCTCTCTCTCTCTCTCTCTCTCTCTTTGTCCTACGCCCACTTTCCCCTAGGACATTTTGTATGAACCATTCACGTTCAGAAAACGTTTTGGATCCGTCTTGATAATTGAAGAAAAGGCATGGTTCATCCTACTTTCCAATTGATAATAATCATTTCTCTACATTTCTCTGTTCTGTCTTAGGCTGTGGAAACTCAATGATCTTCCAAACTTCGTATGCCGTCTTGCAAGAACACTTTGGAGATCAGTTTGGATCTATGCACGCCCTTACTTCAATTGGTCTAGGAGTGGGAGCGATTATTTTGCCTCTACTGACATACGAGCTCCTAGGTGTATATGGTTTACAAGGGACCTTCTTGATCCTTGGTGGACTCACTGCTAATACTATTCCACTTTGTGCTACTTTCAGGTCACCATGTCATGTTCCGTCGAATAAAATACAAAAATCCAGGTATAACAAGCATAGTCTATTGCGTATGGAAGAAGAAAGTGAAGACGGAGACTTCGAATGGGATAATAATGGAAGTGTAGGAGATGAGAACGATGGGATGTCGTCCTGCGAACCAAGATATTTCCTCGACATAATGATAAAAACATTAGCGCTTGAAGCTCTGTGGAAAGAACGTGAGTTTGTCTTCATCATGTTACCATGCCAACTTCTTCTTGACATCATCTTCGCAGGATGGTCTCTCTTTGTGGTATCTTTTGCTGTCAGTGTAGGGATCCCTCCTGACCGCGCCCCATATCTCCTTATAGTGGGTGTGGTTGGAGGTCTTTTGACTCGCTTACTCATCACTATGGTGTTAAGAACACGCCCACATTGGGCCACAATCCTCTATGGTATATTTACGCTCATTTTAACTACTGCCGTTTTCTTATACTACATTAGTTCGACATTTTATTATTTATGTGCTTGTTCATTCATCGCGGGTTTTGGACTGTATGGTGCCGATATAGCATTTTATGCCTGCTTAGCTGCTAGCGTTTCAGAAGGCAACTTCCCCGGCGTTCTAGCAAGTTCTTTCTTCTTCACTGGTATAGGAATGGCGTCGTCTGGCTACATCACTGGTAAGCAGATAGTTCTAAACATACACAATTATTAGGGAGATGATTCTAGAAGGATAGCGGTGGAGGACACGCCGATAAAAGAATAAGGGGGACCAAGAAAATGCAAAAACATACATTAAAAAAAAATCAGCTAAGGCATCAACTCACTGTTTAGATTATGATAAGTGTTCTAGAGTACTGAGATTCACTCGCTTATCAAAAATTGACAATCTTCTCGCAGGCTTGGTCCTTACGCGTTTAAAAATGTCCCCCACGCCCCCCACGCCCCCCCCCCACGCCCCCCCCCCCCCCCCGCGTATGACAATAAATTGTCGCCCTTGGCTACCAACTTATAATTATCAACATATTGTAAAAGAAGGTTAACGAATTATGTTCACACTTTCTATGCGATATGAGCTTGACGTAGATTATTGATTAGAGAACTAAGACCGAGTTTTGTTGTTTAGCTGAACCTGCAAGCTGGAGGATGAAGGCTGGAGGTGAGGGCTACACCAGCTTCACCTTTCCATGGACACGCCACTAAATTCTATGAACGTTTGGCTGCCCCGTAAGACTTATATATTTCTGCTATGAAATAACCGGCCGTGTTTAAAATTTTATATCAGGCTAAGTAATTCGCAACATTGAAATTATAAATGAATTGATAACTGTTTACATATCTCTCTCTCTCTCTCTCTCTCTCTCTCTCTCTCTCTCTCTCTCTATCTCCATTTGAATTACACAGGTCGATTATACGACATAACGAACTCATTTGAGATAGTTTTTCAGTTATTTGGAGGTATAGGTGTGCTGATCTTCATCCTGACTCTAATCTTCATCTACCGTCAAAGAACTAACTCGATCTACTAGAAGACTAGATATTCCTTCGACTTGGCTATACGCCCTGATGGCCTTACAGCTCGGTTTTCGAAGCTTGGTTATTCTTAGTTTCCTTTACTCCAGCGGTCCAGGTGTTGTTCGGCGATACAAAGCCTACTCTCATTCACTTCTGTAATATAGGTTTTCCCTCCCAATTTCTTCAACGTTGCATCCGATTTAACATCATTCCATTTCGAGCGAATTTGAATGATCACCAAGATCAACATTAAAAAAGCTCACTAGTTCATTCAATTTAATTGTATTAGCATGCGATTTCATGATTTGTTTTTCTTCACATAAACGTGTAAAAGGCGCGTTCAAATTAAAAACGCACGTAAATGCATTCAAATTCCACCGCCCTGATAAACTTTAAGGTATTCAAATTCACGAAGAGGCATGCATATTTTTCGGCAGTCTTCTTCGTTTTACTGTTTATGTTCTTTGTAATCTGCATCTGTTTGAATAAATTATGCAAACTTGAAGTGGGACCTTTATTTGCCCTATATTGAAATATCTCATTCCTTTGACAAACCGTCATCGAAGCAAAAGCAAAATAATCATGAGTAATTTACAACCATTCTGTAAGTGTTATATCCATACTGCTAGGGAATAAAGTGAAATGGGAGAGAAGATATTCCCAGGGTTAAAACAAACTGGGGGAGCGAACTTTCGCTCATGATGGGTCTTCATTATGGAATACTCTCCCTCAATGGATTACAAATAGCAATTCTGGTGAAGTGTTAAAAAACAATCTTAAGAAATGTCTGTTTAATTTAGCATATAATTGATTACCATTACCTTTCCTATTGCACTTGTGTTTATCATATATTTCATCTTTTGCACAAGCTGCGCCTTGAGCAAATTTTGATTGTCAAGTGGATTTTGCGCCTTACAAATCTTATGTATTATTATTATTTAAAAGATGATTAAAATAAACATTATGAAACTTTAAAAAGAAAATGAAATTATAATTAAAAACAGTTTTAAAAAAAAAAAGTAAATTTGACGTGAACAAATTGCGGTAGGAATTACAGAGCTTGTTTATGTTAAAGTTAATTCGAACGTTCAAAGTGCGAAGACGTGTGCCTTTGAGTGAAATTGAAAAGATAAACAGTAGAACAAATAGAATGAGGTTTGTTTTACATTTGGCCATTATGTGCCTGCTCATACTTTTTCTTTCTCATGAACGTTAGCTCTGGTTATCTCTTGTAATCTTATGTAATCTCTTAATATTAGTAATCGACAACTAGTTATTTTGATGTGTTTTGTTTTGTTTATGTATGTTAGACATGTTTACATCTAACGTCATTGTTCTATTGTTCTACTGTTATGATGATCCATAGTTTATGTTGATACTATGTGATGTTTTAATTGAAATGAAAGGGATCAATAAAACATGAAATACAAAAGATAAAAATATAATATTCAATTTTGGTCTCGTCTCCGTAGCGTAGAAAGAGAGAGAGAGAGGGAGAGGAAGAGAGAGAGAGAAAGAGAAAAAAAAGGAGAGAGAGAGAGAGAGAGAGTGTGTGTCATAATGGGGGGGGGGGGCAAAGAGATGGGATAAAGCGAGATAAGCATTTCGTCATGATAAGGGAAATCGTATTCTTATCAATCAAGTACTTTTTATCAACTCAACATGAAGAATAAGTATTATTGTTGTTCTTGTTGTTTAAATGTCATCCCAATATTATTTTCATTCGTTCGATTGTACTTTATCTGTCTATACTCTATAACATCGTTCTTGAAAAGGAAAAGGGAAAGTGCGCCCTGATATTAAGTTGGTTTGAATAGAAGCAAAAAATGAGAGAAACAGGTCATTGGAAGTTTGAGCAAAAAACTATTAAAAATAAGAAAGTTATGATATTATTGTATAAAGATAAAGGCCAGTTCTGGCCATGCGATTGCATTGTGAAAGAAACGTTGTGGAATTGATCAGACAAGGTTGATCATCTAGCATATAGTATTGGTGTGTACTAGGTTCTGGAATCATCAAAATGATAAGAAATTTGGCCCGGTAGTCTTGGTAAAGTTACCGGAAATTTGAAAATCGCGCAGACAGTTATTTCAACTCGACTTACGATTTTGAAAAGGGGCAGGCTCACGTCACGTCTCTTGTCCGATATCAACATTCCCCGTTTTCAATTTATGCTCGCGCGCAAATTTTATGACATTTTCTTCAGTGGGGGCTGAACCCTCTTGCCCTAATATCGCTTTTCTGGTTTCACAATTTGGCGAGCGAGCGAGCGGAAATTTGAACAGATCATGTATGTTGTGAAAGTGTTATTTGTCACCAAATAATTATACGAGATAAGATATACAAAATGCATATTGGTAATTTTTAAGTTTTCGGGGAAAGAGAGGCTGCAACCCCATCCCGCATTAACTGCAGGTGTTATGAAATGAAATCAAACTCCCCCTAAAAGTATTAACCAAAACTCACGAATCCAGTTTCAAAAATCAAAAATATTCCGGCTTCAGAAGGGCGCACATCCCCCAATGAAATCCCCCCCCCCCCCCCCCCCCTGTGCGCGCAAACGCGAAATTAATGCTGGCGCGTGCTAACGCTAATACATAAGCAGGGATAGCGGAGCGACTTCCAAGCTGGGGGAACCAACAAAAAAAGGGCACCTATAAAGCGACATCTCAAAGCGTTAGACATTGGTATATACCCCTACATTGTGATTACATTATCAGGGACGTTTTCCATATTTGTTTTTCTGTATATATTATATAAGATATTGCTTAAGCATCACATTTTGCAGTTGGGTGTAATGGTCTTAGTAATCATTCGCGAGCGAGCAAAGCGAGCGAGAAGAATAATGTAAGATCTGTGAGGTTGCAGTGTGAACAATTACATCTTATAAATTTTCGGGGAAAGAGAGGCTGCAACTCCATATAAAGAGGAAAAACCCCAATAATGATGGGATTATACGCACATGCCACATTCTCATACCGAAAGACTGAAAAGACCTTTGTTAAGTAACATCAAAAAATTATAATTGTATCATCTATAAATGTGAACGAGCGTAGCGCGTGAGTTTTGGGGGAAATTACTCTTAGTCGCTTTTAATTAAGGGCATGTTTAATGATGAGTGGTAAAGGGGACACTTTATATCGAAAGGGATAAAGACACTGAAAGAAAAGGAGCATGTGTCAAGGTGCAAACTCCAAAGGGTAATTACCAAAGGTTAAAATAGGGCACTTCTTACACCTGACAGGAGGCACTCACCAGAGATTTTTTTAAAGGGCACTTATGAGTATGGAAAAAAAAATCGACGGAAAAGGGGCATCCATCAGAATTTGATAGAGGCATTTATCAGAGGTGAAAAGGGGCATTTATGAAAAGGGGATAGGTCCCTTATTAGAAAGGAAAAGGGGCACGATTCAAAATAAAAAGGGACAGTTATTAAAGTTGAAAAGAGCACTTATCAGGAGGGGAAGGGGTACTTTTCAAAATTAAACGAGCGTCTCTCAGATTTGAATAGGGGCAAATGTCGGAAATGAAGATCGCACTTATCTGAAGTGAAAAGAATTAACTTCTCGTGTCTGAAAAAGGTCATTTACCAGAGATGAAAAGGGACACTTTTCATAGGTGAAAATGGGCCCTTATGAGAAGGGAAGGGGCTGTTTTTTTAACGGCCCTTATCATAAGGAAAAGGGGACCCTATTAGGCACATGTGTAAATGAAAGGTGTGCTTATCCGAGTTAAAAAGGGGAAGCTCTAAAAAATGGGAAGGGGCATTTCTTACAAAGTAAAAGAAACACTTTTGGAGTACTTGAAAAAGTGGGGGCACTTTCCCCTTCACCCCTGCCGCCCTCCCCATCATCCAAAAATCCAAAATAATGTGCCCTTTTCAAATTTCTCACCAAAGAGTGATGACCTTTGTAGCGCAGGGGCTGTTTTAACGTTTAACTTCGAATCCGCGGCTCGGGATTTTATGCACTAATGTCTCCCAAGCCTTCAGGAATGACCCCAAATCTCCCGATTACAATTCCGCTCTTCTCAGTTGTAGGGGCCGGGGGCGGCTGTATCGTGAGTGCTTTTACGTGAACCTCTTTAAAAATATAATTATGCTGGATTCCGACCCAGATTGCACACCCTAAAATGATAGGATGATCATCCCCAATACGCTTGCAGTTTACATGTGCACCCCTTCCTCTTTAACCATCGTTACCGTCACAGCCATTTACGTGTAGCCGGCCCCCTCTTCAATAACGGCTCCCAAGCCTTCGGGAATGACCCTAACATTTCCTTACTATACCATTCTGCCGCTCTTTGGAGGGGCCGCGGGTGGGTGCGGTGCGGCCTTTTAAGAATTGTTTTTACACTAACCTTTTCAGGCACTAAGGCTTAACATAAACAAGCTTGCTTAGAATTTTTGAAAAATAAGCTGAATTCCGACTCTATTTAAATCGATTTGCACAACCTAAAAATTAGAACACGATCAGTCATCCCCCTTCCTTGCGCGCGCATTTCACAAGCATTTCACAATGCACTTCTCAACACGAAATATTTCACTAAATATGTTTTGTTATTTTCACTCAAAATTAATTCAGCCATGCTCATTTTTAATCACTTCACTTATATCTTATCTAACATTGAATACAATGCAGTTGCATGGGTTGTTCTTTTATTTTGTTAACTCGGCAGAGGCCACGGTCATCTTCAAGCATTTACGCTTACGACATGTGGTCTCCTGCTTTTTCCTTTTGTATGAAACTTTTATTTTAACTGGAAACAAATTTACATGTTATTTCATTATATTTATTTGTATGTTTCTTTGTATTGATATGAAAAAGTGGAAATAAAACAAAACAAACAAACAAACAAGCGCATACCCCCTCCCCCCCCCCCCCCGAGTCCCAGTTTTTCCTTTAATCGTTGTTACACTGTCACTTAGTGCCATTTCCTTGTCTTTTACGCTTTTTCAACCGGCTTCTCTCTTCTCTTTCTTTTCTCGTTTTCTCTCTCTCTCTTTTTTTTCTTTTCTCCTCTCCGATTTTCTTTTCTCTTCTCCTTTCTTTTATCTTCTCCTTTTTTCTCTTCTTTTCTTCCTCTTTTCTCCTTCTCCTTTTTTTTAGCCGCCAAAAGAGGGGGCCGCGGCCGTTCCCCCCCCCCCCCCCCTCGGATCCGCCACTCACTTATCTATCCGAAGGGCAGTTCTATAGAAACGAACGAAGACGTGCCTCGATCATCAAAAGTAACAAAGAGAACATTTCATATTTGAGAGTTGCACTTATAATTATTAGCAAGTGGAAGGGCACTTATTATATAAATAAGAAAAGGGGCACTCATCAGGGTAACTATATGAGACGGGGCACTAGTAGAAAGAATGGGGGCACTGATTATATGAATTAATTAAAGGGGTTTTCGATCCTACAAAAGTTTCACTTTTAGGGTATTTGAAAAAGTATGGGGAACTCTGTGTCTGGCTCAAAATAATAAATGAAAATAGATATAGATATTCTCAACAAATAAAATGAACTACCCAGACGGGGATTTTTTTTTGTCTATCTGTCTACCCATTATAAGCATGCCACCTATACTATATAATATATACAGCTTGTCCTTGAAAGAGACTATAAACTTGTACCACATTTTTTAGGAGAGGAACTTCTGATTTTCTTCAAAATGCCTCGAATTTCCGAGTACTTCACCCCTCTAACAGTTAATGTATTGTTTAGTATGGGAGCTGGAGTCCTTATGGGATGGTTTATTAGAGGTAAATTCCAAAGACAACATGTTCTGAGAGCTCAGGAAGCTGCCAGATCGTCAATGGAGGTATGTACAGTCCCGTGTGTTGGGCTTCGTGTAATTCTACTAGACTAGTAGATCTAGTAGAGGTCTAACGTTAGTAATGGAAATCGAAATCCACTGTGACAATGTTAGTTACATATAATATTACTGTGCTGTTGACAAGTCTTTAGGGTTATGTGATAATCACTCCTTAAATGCATGAGGTCTAACCGTAAACGGTATGGACCTCACACCTGCATTAGTTTTTAAATGTATGGACGTTTCACACGTACAATGCCATGGCCATGATCCGATCTCTCTCTCTCTCTCTTGTATCCTTCCTCCGCTCAGGTCGGAGATCGTCGGCACTGTGAGTCTGCGAAGTTACATAAATGCTTTCTATAGGTCGTTAAAGATGATGTGTGAAGGTTGCGTAAAAATAAAATAAGGGTATGCAGCTGTGTTAGAACTTGAAATACTTTTATGAAATGTTTTGCAAAAAAAGTTTGGCATAACAATTGCTCATGGGATAGAGCCTGCTCTTTAGCAATTGTGTGCCATGTTACAAGAAACCAGACAAAGTGTGATTAGACTAGAGTCTAGGCCCTAGTCCTAGAGGCTAGATCTAGATCTAGAGTAAAGGAGGGGGTTTTCGGACACTTAAGACAAAATCCTATTTTTTGGACCCTTTACTTCCTATTTATTATCATTTCTTGTTCAAATCATGAAGCAAATATTATTATTATTTAAACAAAAAAAGAATCCCAGAAGAAAATCACGAATTGCCATGACAATATTCATTTCAATTTTCACTGTTTCGGAGTCAGTTATCGGCACAGCGAACTAGTTTTCGGCCGCATGTACAAAGTCAATAGGAAGCGCGCACGCACGCTGTGCGTTTCCGCGCTGATCTATAGTACTAGCTGGCGGAGCAGGTATCCCAGGCCGGAGCTCGCCAGGCCGAAAACTAGTACTGCAGTGATCGGAAATTGGAATCTGAATTAGACAGAGATATCGTGTGTGCGTTGCGGAGTCCGGCTGCATTGATTTAATACATGCGGTGAGATACTTTTGAGCTTGCGACTAGCACAAAATCGGGCTCTTTATCTGAAAAATACTTGAAATAAAGCTCATTTTATGGTACCCATATTTCTTACAGACACGCGTAAGATACTTGATTTTTCAGATTCGGGTAGCGGGACCGCCGATTACATCGCTAAAATGTGATATTTTAGGATATATTTTTCATTGGAAATGTGGTTCTTCAGTGAATCTGGCATGGTATGGTATGTGTGGGATATGTGATATGCTATTATGCGATGTATTTTAAGGGATTTTACCATGCATCCAACAAATCGGCCGAAAACTGAAGCTGGTCGATTACCCCCTCCTTTACTCTAGATCTATATTTTTTTTAGTACATTTTTTTTAAAGAATTTACTCAATCACGAATGGTTTAAATTAACTTTGGTTTGTAGCCCCATTCATAAGTTGTAAATGTCTTGCACAAACTTAAATAGTAAAGATCTTAAAGGGATGAAAATTATAGAGGCTTCCCCCTGTTTTATTTTATCCTGACAAAACGCAATCTCAAAAGAGTAAATTTTGTGAAAGTAATCTTGCATTTGTTTCTAATTGTTTTCCTACCTGCAGGGTACCCCTAGTGTCATGTCTGACAGCGGTGAATACAAGCTTGTTCTAGTTGTAAGAAACGATCTCAAAATGGGAAAAGGAAAAGTAGCTGCACAGGTAAGTAGGTTTATAGACCGAGCCAATCACTCTTTTACTTAGGCTGTATAAATGTGTCATTGTGGGTGAGAAAGCTAGAGGATGGATGGATGTTATACTTCCTACAGACTGTTGACCATGTTCTGAATGAGTTTGATGTAGTATGCCAGCCACCCCCCCCCCCCCTCCCTCACTGATTTAGAAAACACGCAACTAGTGTCATATTGTCAGTTTTAAATAGCTCTGGTTGATATATGAAATTATGATAATCCTACATTATTTAGTTCTATCATTTGGAACCTGTTCTGCCTTTTATATTTTCAGTCATTAGCTCTTACACTCAAATACAAAGGCCTCTCAAAAGGAAATTTTTAAAAAAAGTGCTCACCATCTATTGCTAGCTGGTCTTCATTTACAGGTGGTCACAAGCTCAATGACTTGCCCAAGGCCAGGCATAGTGAAATTGAGTAGGCTAGTTATAGAATAATGTATTTGGGATAATGGTATATATGTTTTCTGAATTACATATTCATAAAGTAACAATCATCACACATACATTATTCTATAATTAGAGATTTTTTCTTCTTAAAAGATCTCAATTTAGATCAGTGATTTAAATAACCATAATTTTCTGTTAATAGCCATCACTTTACCTCATGTATGACTTGTTGTTTGTATCCTGACAGTGTAGTCATGCAACACTTGGATGCTTTAAAAAGGGAACCAGAATCAGACCAGAATGGTTGAAGAATTGGGAGGTGGATGGCCAACCTAAGGTGGTCCTAAAAGTACAAGATGAACAGTCATTGTAAGTATACCAATATTTACATTCTATTTTGAAAACACAAAGGGTATATGTGAATAAAGCATTTTTCTATTTCATTATACTTTATGTCAATTTGATTTATGATAATTCAGTAAGTTATCGTTTTGATCAGGTACAGAATTCTGAAGTCATCAGCAATGTAGTCAATCATTTTCCACATTATTCTCACAGTAATAATCTTGCCTTCAACAGTACAAACCATCCAGGTTTCACTAATTGGTCACCCACCCCCCCCCCCCAAAAAAAAGTCTGACATCAATAGTGCACAGGAAGGGTACAGACTGTAAAGGTATCAGTAAATGATGCCGGTGGGGGGGGGGGGGGGGGGGGAGGTGGGGGCTAAAGTAGGAAAAAGGGTTTTGTGTGCAAACAAAAAAAAATATTTGAGGGTCTTGTGAGCGTACATGCAAAAAAATCCCTTTTGGCAGTTCAGAATTCTTTCAGGTTTCTTTGGAGGGTTTTGTGTGAAAACTTGCTACATAATTTGGTTTGACCCTGCCCACCCTCTTTTTTTTTCTTCAAGTGGTGAAATAACAATTCAAGGTATAATCCATCTCTTTTACAAAGATAAAGACTTGCTTTCATTCAAGTCAGAAACAGCAGTAATACTCCAACCGACTTTACAGCAGAGCTTTAAAGATTTACTCTATGAAATCCATTCGTTCTGTTGTATCTACAGATTAGTGTTATCTGGACAGGCCACAAGAAAAGGTCTTCCAACATCCATCATCCAAGATGCAGGAAGGACTCAGATAGCTCCAGGATCAAAGACGGTGCTAGGTATCGGACCAGGTAAAGCTAAAACATTCACGACAAGTTTTCTTTTTGAAAAGTATATCTTGTAAATTAGGGGTTCTCAAACTTTTTCCTGGATGGTCTAAATGTAATTTCTGTGAAAGCTAAAAGGTCTGAAACATTGGGCAAAATTACTTCTTTCAGTGTGGTAACGTGGTTAAGACAGTCATAAGTGGGAGTTCTGATACCTTACGCATGTCAGTGCTGTTCAAATCAGGGAAAAAATACACGGGGGCTCGGGGCAATTTAGCCCCCGAAAGTCTTTAAGGTATTACAAAGTTTTGGTAAATTTTGAACAATGGGTGGATAATGATTCTTTACAATTTTGATATATTTGGATGCCCCTGTGAATGTATTAAATACACTAGAAATTTTAGCCCCTAAAACACTTCTGCTTTCGAGAAAAACTAAATATAAACATTTACAGGTGCTCCCGGTAAATTTTGATAAATTTCAAATAGCTCCTATATGGCCGTACAATGGTAGCTGCGACCATAAAAATCTCAGAATATGTAGTTGTGCTATATAAATTCCAAACGGGAATAGCTAATCGGTCGATTTTAGTCAAGATACATTGTTTCATAGCTTAATTAATATCTTGACCTTGAGAGGGAGCTATACAACATAAAGTGTTAATTTTTACAATTTCATAAATTTAGAGTCGATTTCGACCTCGACAACGATCACTGAATATTGTAGGATTGCATATGCTTCCAATATGTTCATTTGAACCAAATTCATGACCCCATACCAAAACTTTGTATTACCTTTAAAAGAGCCCCCAAATCGTGCATAAAGTTCAATGCAAAACAAATTAAAGAGTATTATTTTCATGCAAGCAAGCTTGAAAAGTAGCCCCCGAAACGTTTAAAGTAATTTTTCCCTGGTTCAAATGTGCAATATCGATAATGCACTTGCCCTGCAGGTGCCTACATTATCACTATGGGCACTGATTAAACTTTGTGCACTGGCCCTGCCCTAACACACTCGCAACAGTGCATTATTATTTAATGTTGATAAGTCTGCATAGTAATGACTGCATTATCTACTCCTATTTTTCTGTATCTAGGGCCAGCAGAACTCATTGATGAAGTGACTGGAGATTTGAAGCTGTTTTGATGAGAACCTGATCATTCCATGAATAGTTTTATACTTCATCCACTCACTGGGCCTGACTGACTGGGGGTGATGTGACATGTGCAAGGGAAGATGTAATAGTCAAACGTTCAGGCTGACATTTTCAGTACCAAAATTACTATGTTCAGTTAGAAACCTGAGAAAGCTATTGGAAATGTGTGTTAACTGAAAGTGGACAGAAAGTCTAATCATGTTATGTGCATTTTTACCCTCCCCTCCAAAAATAATGAAATATTAGACCTTTGTAATGACCTGAATTGAAAGTGTTTATCTCTACATTCTTTGTTTTGGCAACACTTCTAATATTTCTATGTGAATGTTATTTAACGGTATGTCCATCTTCATTTAGACAATTGCTTCTAAAATATTTGATGTGAAGCCCAGTTTTAAATCACAGTAAAAATAGATGGATCTTTTAAATAACAACACACATTAGTCCATTACATCAATTTCAATGTTCAAGTTCCCTTTTTTAAATTGCCTTTTTTTTCTTCATGTACACCCCGAGTTTAAATAATGGATGTTTCAAATGTTTAAACAAATTAGGACCAGGAAATTTGTAAATGAACCAGTGCAAAAACGAAATGATGCACGAAATGATGCTGCTACAATTGTGTATGTAACTACTCTTTATAATGGGTGAATAAATGTGCACATCACTTCAATATGGATATGGAAGACAAGAAAGAAAACAGATTTTGTTTAGTGTCTTTTTAATAAATCATGGTAAAAACATCTACCTCATTTGTTCAATGATTCTTCAATTCAAAATAAGTAACATTCATTTTGAAAGTTGTTTCCTTACAACCTTTCCCTACGTCCATATGACCACATGTCATCATTGGTATGCCAGCACATGAATGTCAGCACAGCTTTGACATAAGAATGATGTACATCTAAATTGATGCCATACTCTGAATAAGGAAATAAATAAAGGTTATTCAATATTCATTGTAGGCATTTCACATGTATATGAATCATAGTTGCTGCATTCCTCAAAAACACATGTATATATATAATGTATTGTTCTGTGATTCATACATTCTTCCAATACTGCACCTTTCAAAACCCTTAAGAGTAACGATTCACTGAAATATATGCAAAACTTTTACAGGACTTTGCATTTATAGGAATTATTTTCAAGTCCTTTACTCTTTCACAGCATGTATTGCATTATAGGAACTAAATAAATAAGTTGTTTCTTGTAAATTACTTTTAACTTGACCTGAACAGTTTTATGACTTTGGTGAACTTATTATAACAGGATTTTTCTGTGCATTTCCTTGTACATTCAGTTAGCACAACTTGGAATTTAGGGCCTGCTATGTAAAGCTACGGTCACAAAGGTTTGTACGAACGATGGGTTCGTACAAATCTTCCCGAATTTCCATTGTCAAAATCGTTCGTACGTGGTTCGTTGCAGTTCGTAATGGCATTTGTGACCGAGGCTTTATACATACGATCCCATAAATTTTTTAAAAAAACATTCATGTTAAAAAATATAAAATAAAGCACCCGTTTCTTGAACTGGTAAAGCCATCTTTTCTTGGTGTGCATGTATGATGTTGTCAGGTGTTTGATGTTGGATGGTATTTTGTTTTGTTTTCAAAGTTCAAGTGACAAACTGCAATTAAACACAAGTCTAATTGTGTGCAATGAAGATTGGTTAAACTCAAGTTGGCATTTAATCACAACTTTCTATGCAAAAGACCATTTGACTTTCTTATCAAAAGAAGTACAAAATTATCAGTAAACACAGATTTGAATTGTACCTCAACATTCTAGTCAATTAATACATGTACATACTATAAAACAATAGACCAAGGCCCTGTTGCACAAAACTTATCATTGATGGTAACTTTGCCATCAATGGTAACCACCATGGAAACCTTGATTTTGATTGGCTGTTTAGCCCTGTTACCATGGTAGTTGCCATTGATGGCAAAGTTACCATCAATGGTAAGTTTTATGCAACGGGCCCGGTTTACTAATGCATCTAATCTCAGGCAAACTTCTTAATGTATGATGATTACCCAACATAGCAACGATTAGTGAACAGGGTATACAAGATGGATTCTAACAATAGAGATTCTATCACACATGACATGAGAATAGTTAACCCAAATGGATTAAGAGAAGTTGCATCCATAAGCTTGGCTTCAATAGAAGATTGATCTATAAACTCCAATACTGCTACTTCACTCTGCATTACACATGCATAGTATCAATCATAATCCCCTCTACACAAACAAATGATATCTGTAATTCATCCAGACATCTATTCCAATATAACATCCGTTTCAATTTAACTCCTTAAAATATGTTATCTATTCCAATACTAATCCTTATTACGCCACACAGTTTTCAATAAATAATTGTACTGTACCTGTATCACAGAACGCCAGCTCTGTCATTGTTTTAATGTGTGTGTGTGTGTGTGTGTGTTTTAAGTTACATTAAAATGCTTAACCTTTTCCTAGTTGTGTCCTAACTTTTGGTGGATGTATGTCCTGCTAAGGATCATGGAATTTTACCACGATTGGTCTCTGTGCATTCAGTATCTAGTACTAAGCCTTTACACTGTTAAATGCAATAAAGCATAAAATGGTGTTGATCACATCAATGGCTTTGTGAAGAGGTAATACACACCGTGTTCATTTTAGTCATAAGTCACACCTATAACTGAGATATAGCTAACACACAAACACAAATTGTGATGCTCTGGCACTGCCCTTTTCAAATTCATTGGCAAAGCTGGCAGATCTATTTAGCTCTAACATTGTGCTTTCATGTTAAGCATCCTGCCCCTAGACCCGATTTGAGGAATGCCGATACATCTGGACAAAGTTCCTTGTCATAGAAAACTGTAGAACAAAATTACACTGGGGAGATGTTCATATTCAAAGGATACACATAAGTGCTTATATTGTAAGAGCCTAATTCTGAATAATTTCACTTAAATAAGACTTTCAGTAGCAATAAATCTACATAACATTCTTGGATAGTCCACAGGTTGCTTACAGGCTTGTGGGAGTAAAAGTACATCTTCTTGAAGATAGCCCACGTTCAGAATGAATTTGACTGTCTCTCCACCGGAAAATGACACTTACTAACAATAATTGACTGTGCTTACACTAAATACCTACTGTGAGTATCTGAAGTACGATACAAATGACCAATACAGGTCACTCCAATCCCAATCAACCAACCATGGATTACCAATCAACAAAATGTACGCACTCGCACATTTTCTCTGCAGCCACTCTTTCATACAAATAAGTAAATAAAAAAGAAGACACATCTGGAACAGACATTATCTTTCTGATGTTTAAAGCAAAAGACATTGACATCATCCTCAGGTTTAGTTTAAACAATCCATAGCCCCTTTCTTCATAGTCTCACTGCATAAGCACAAAGGTGGAAAACTATGAAATTCTTCATTGAGAAGCCCGTTGCTACAGACAAATCTCCATGTCCATAAGAAGATTATTAAGCTTTCATGTTCAAGAAGAAAGCCTATCATGCCTCTGGTTAACTGGTGTGTAATCCGCATTAGAAGAACACACAACATCCATTCAAAGCAATGTGTCTACAGTTCTATGGCAGGGGATTTCCCCTACAGAGAAAGGGGGGATTCCCCAGAAAGTCCTGGTCTGATGGGGTCCTTCATCATAACTTGAGAGAGACAAAGTACTCTATTTTGCCCTTGAGGGCATCCGACATCTCCTTACAGGATTCTTGGTAGCTCTCTTCAACCTTGGACCAAATGGCTCTCTCTTCTTCTTCTGTGAACTGCAGAGATAGAGGATGAGAGCGAGAGAGAGAGAGAAAGAGAGAGAGGGGAGGCAAGGAAAGAGGGAGAGTGAAAGAGAGGGAGGAAAGAGCAGGAGTCGAGGAAGAAAAGGAAAGAATGAGAAGGAAAGTGAGATGAGAGAATGGGAAACAGAGTGAGAGAGAAAGGGGTGTTGTTAATTGATGCATATCTATAGACTGTCGAGAATCTGATAATATCTGTTATTACAGTCAATTTACCTAAGTGTGCTTGGTGTGAACCAGTCTGTAAAGTGTCTTTGCGTTATTTCACTTGAATTGTCTTGGTACGTAAGTTTGGACATGCACCAATATTACCATCATTATGAACCTTCTCTTTTTTTGTAGTATATAGGTGTTTGGTAAGTAATAACACCAAAAAAAAACTGGTATTGGTGAAAATAAGTGAACATATGTATTACTGACAAGTCAGTGAGACTGAGAGAACGGCGCCTCCATTTCACTGGTCATTGCTGGAGGAGCAAGAGTGAAATAATTTCACAAATGCTCTTCTGGTATTCTTGAAGGCAAACACACCACAGGTCACCCAGCAAAGACTTACATGGATCAGTAAGATAAAAACATTTGTCTATCGAGGCAGGAAATCCCAAAGATCATGAAGTATAGAACTGAATTGTAAAAACTTGTCAAATCAGTGGGAATACGCTCAACCTACCAGACAGATGTTATGTATTGATGTACTTACACACTCATGATCTCCATCAGTGAGCTGCATGTGGTCTAGTTTGAGAGCAAGGAAGACCATATCAGTATCCATGACAGCCATATGAAGACCTTCTAACAGTATATGAAACTCCTCCATGTAGGACTTGAACTGATCTATCACTGCCGGCTGTGGAATGGGGAGAAGAGGGAAGGGAGACATATAGAGATAAAATAGTGAGAGAGATAGAGAAAGTACAGGGAGAATTTAATAAATAAACCTGATTTCAAACAAACATGTGCTGTGGAAACGTCTTATGCTCTTCTACATCAAAGATCAGAAGCTTTTTAACAAGTTGGGGAGGAATATCATGTAACGTATTCAAAAATAGATACAACATCATTCAACTTTCCAATATGCAAACGATCAGTGTGATATACGGGTCATATTTTGTGTTAATTACCAACAAAAAACAAAAAAACAAAAAATTCCCTCTTCCTCACTCTTTCTTATTTAATGCTTTTACAATACTGCTCTGTGTAATCAGTAAACTAGGATGAAAGCTTGTGGACTTACATCTACCACTCAAGGACACTTTAAGAGGCCTAACATCGTTGAGTGATCATGATTATATCACTGCATTTCTATCGTAACAAATATTGATGTGAAAACATAAACCACAGAATAACCCCTGGTCCATATGCAATTGTAACTAGATTAATAGCTTAAAGCTTATCTGTACTAGTTTATAGGAAGGATTAGACCGCCCTGCAAGGTCACTGGACAGGTGGTTATCTCATAAACTCAGCTCTCAATTAACATAAGAAAAAGAGGATCATGGGGGACCAATGGTCACCGATTAGGCATTGTTTTCTATATAGAGGGAGCTAGAAGCTACAAGTAGGACAGTGTGGCTTTAATACAGGTGTAATTATGAATGGACTTTACAAGGTAACATACCAGTGGTTTTGGAGGTGCTCCCTTCTTCTTCTTGCCTCTTTTCTGAGCTGCTTGCTTGACTTTCTTCATCATCTTGAAGCATACACTACTCAACAGGATCATGAAGATGAATGTCTGTGGGATAGAGAGAGTGGATAATAGCACTCGTTTTATTAGCAAGGACTACTCTAACTACTTCATTTGAGATTCCATACATTGTGACCCAACGAAAGATTAATTCAGTATTAGCTCTTCTTCATTTCACATTACCGGCAAAGCAACATCAGCCCCTAATTTTTATTTTCTCTCAAGTACTAGTTTGATCCAAAATATTTTGGATCTTTGAATAGATCTAAATTTCTTTGTTCATTTAAAGAAAGCTCTCAATATAGTTTAATTAGCTAGTTAGCTATTAGCTGTGAAATGAAGCTACTTTCCCCATAAACTTTTTAACTGGGAGGTCAGAAACCTCAATAAAACTAATGCTGCTCATTGTCTATTGAAAAAAATCCTGAACATATTTATTTAAACAAATCTGAATCAAGCAGAAAATTTATTTAAAAAAACATATTCACGCATGACAAATATTTAGCCTTTATGAATGCAATCTTACCTCGACCAATTGGACAGTCTCTGGTAGTATATGTCTGTCAAAGGTCTTCTTACCATCCTTCTCAATGATCAAGCTTCTTCTACTTCTCCTCAACGACTCTGTAAAACAAAAACAATAAATCATTATGTGTCAAAGAAATATTGTCTATCCTTAATTGGTAAAGTTACTGACACAACGAGGCATTGTTTTATATGATAGCTTAGACAGATACCGAGATGTGATTGGTCCAGACCTCGTCACCTGATATCGATTGCGAGGATCGTAATTGTTATATTTTCCTGGCCGGTTATATTTTACCAGCTGGTGAAATTAATATATTTTTAATAAATGCATGTCGCCCTCTTGAGGACTGTATGCATTTTTTTTTTTGATGTTGTTGTTTTTGTTGTAGAAAAAAAATGGAAAAAATATAACAGATATTGATTGGCAGGGGTATATAACGTTCTTCTGACCTGACCTTCGTGAAAATATAACTGCCTTCAGAGTTCCAAAGAATGTTATTTTACACCCCCTGTCAGTCAATTTCTGTATAATAACATGCCCCCAACAGCACTCATTCTTTGCAGTCTAAAAGTAGAGTAAATTGAGATAAATATCTTGAAAAGGCTTCTTCGCGCGTACAGTTAATTGTTCAAACCACTAAACTATGACAACTCTGAATACATGCTGAGTAACATTCAAAGCAGTCATATAATCTTACCTTGTAAGTTTGACAGGATGTCCTTCATTGCTTGTGATATCATAGTCTGTGTCTCCTCATAGGATGAATCGTCTGAGCAAATAAACATGAAACGTCTTTATTAAGAGGTGGTCATAATAACAGTTTGAATTTGTCTTTAACGTAAATTTTCAATTCAGGTAAAAACTAAATAATGAGCCACACTAATGAGAATATTCTGTTAGTTTGTGAAGCCAAAATGAAATAAAGTCCAGCATACAGACCCTGAGGGTAAGGTCAATTTAGACAGTAGGTGGTAAGCTGCCTAGAAAAAGCAGATTTAAATGACATTTGCTTTCTGCGATTTACATGTCTCTATCATTTACAGCACAAATCAGGGATTACACATTGGGGCCAATATTGCGCCTAGCATTGACTTTTCATTTGTTCACATGTTAAGTTTTGCAGTGCTGCTCACCGCTTTCTCCTCGTAGGTGGGGGGAGGGGGGGGGGGGGGGTTACATAGGAATTTTATGCCAGAATGTCTGAATGGGGTTTCAAAGGTATTGGAGAGTTACCTGAGCTGAGATTGGAGAACTCATGAGAACCAAGAACCATCTTTAAGCCTGCCGTTAGAATGACATCATGTTTCCCGGCTAAGTACTCGGACAGATTCGTCTTAGGTGGACCTTGGGTGCAGTACTAAACAGTAGAGAGAAACAAAATAAAAAAGATTTAGTTACTCTGTTTTAACAGCTAACATATCAATATTCTTTAGGCAAATTTCTTGAGTTGAGATTGATTTGGAACTGATAAAAAACTGAAGACTATTTTAAAATTTAATATAGAAATATAATGTAAGGATCGGAAAAAAGACAAACATGAAAAATAACGATTGTCACCACCGTATGATACATCATCATAATAATACATTTGTAGAGTGCAGAAACTATCCAACATTAAGTATATATTCTACTGTGCTACAAGAGCTCCTGATATGCTTAGGTTGAAAAGATCGCTTTCAGTTTTGATTTAAAGATATTCACAGATGGTGATTTCCTGACGTCCAATGTTAAGTTATTCCAGAGTTTGGGGCTGAACAAGCAAATGCTCGATCACCTAGCATTATTTTTGTTTTGATAGATGGGATCTGCAGCAACAAAGTGTCATCATCAATACCCTCATTGCAAGCACTATTATCACAATCAATACCTGTCTAAGAAAATCATAACACTACCCAAAAGCATCATTGGCCTTGAGGTTTTTTTTTAAAGTTAAACTTTCAACTCGTCGGGCGTGTTCCCGATCAGCAAAAACAGCCGGGCAGCCCTCAATAATAATCTTGACTAAAAAAAAAAATCACCTTCTGATCCAGATGTGGGTCTTCTCTGATTGTTCCGACATGGCTAGTAAGATCTTCTAGCAATCGTTTCAATATGTCACTCTTGTCCACAGACTCTCCGTTATTGCTGGCAGCCATGGTATTAGTCTCTGCTTGCTGGGTCTCATTACTGACCTGCTGAGGTGAGAGATGGGCTGCGGCTGCTAGAGATCTCAATGAGAGGCTACGTAACCTCAGCCATGATTTCTCCTGTTGGGACGATATCTCAATGTCTTCATCTGACAGTTGCCTGTGCAAGGGATGAAGAAATAGGCTAAGATTCCTTTCTTTAAAGAGACTTGGTAACATGAGAGAAAATGGTGCTAAGGCAATGTTAGATGTACAATTAAGGATAAACTGAAATAGGCTAAGATTACTTTCTGTAACAGATAGAAAACCGATAATGGGATAATGTTAACCCTATCTGGGTTTTGTTTTGGTTACAAGGGACATTTAATTTCTTGGGATAATGTCAAAATTGTATTTGCTAGTAATGATGGGTTTACAAGTTTATGTACTTGTACTACAGCAAATAAGCACCCTGTTACAACTCTAGTCATTTTTTCCTCTTTTACTTTCACTTTTGTTCCAACTTCAGCCACCTCATCTATCCATGTGTTATCTTCTCTCTCTCTCTCTCTCTCTCTCTCTCTCAACCTCTCTCTGGGTCTCTCTCTCTCTCTCTCTCTCTCTCTCTCTCTCTCTCTCTCTCTGTCTGTCTGTCTATTGCTGTCTCTCATTTCCATATTCTTTATTGTGTTGTTTCCATGTATGAAAATAAACTGAATCCTTACCTTTCCTGAGGAGACCACGTGATGAAAAATTTGAGATCTCTGTTATCACGGAGGTCATCCCAGTCTGTGTCATCTATCGTAAAGAGATCAATTATATGTTTTAAATGGCTTTATTATTATCAAATGAGATGCAGTATATGCAGTATGTCAGTCACACTACCAAAACCACCTCTAAAATGACTGAAGCAATTATTATTTCATATTCACCCTGGTTTTGTCTGCCTTGTCACTGTGACTAAGCTTTAATCGTATATAAGAAGTTATTTATTCAATGATTATATAAACATCCTATTCAGTTGACATTAAATGACTAACAAATAATGAGTAAAGAGCACATTAATCCTCCATAACCTTGCACTTCGCCAATAACAAAGGTCAAGGTAAATCTTTATCTCACACACCGGGCAAGTATCAGAATCACAGAAACGTAGAGCAGCAGAAGTGAGAGCAAGACGTCCTCACACACAGCCTGGCGGAAATCATCGGAATCGATGGATAGCGCTGATAGATTCAACAACAACAACAACGACATATTACATTTTTGAAATGTAAAACAAAAAACTTACCATTTGCAGGAATGATTTCCATGTCTTGAACAATGTCTTCAAATGTTTTGCTATTACTGCAATAAACAAAATAAATGACATGTTCATATTCCTTTCAAAGACACATGTCCACCTTTCAATATCGGCACACATGATTGCATCAACTGATACATCATCCAAACTGTAATTATCACTACCATGCTGGTCAAAATTTACCTGATATAGATATATCCAAGTAAGCATCCTCCTGGATACTATCTACACCTGCCCAGACCCCTTCCTTATAAAGACCCCTTCCCTACCAAGACCCCTTCATACACTAAGCCTGTGCATGCGAGTGTATTTTTGTAGTTGTGTACACGTCTGGACATACGGTCGGAAAACACGGTCATGTTTTGCATTATCAAGACAAAAAATATATATGTAAGAAAGAATAAAACACCCTTTCAATCACACAAACCGCTCTGATACTATTGCCGCAAATGACCGTAATAATTCAGTTCCATAATTTCCAGCTGATTCACAGCTCAAAATCATGTAGAAAAACTTAAGAAACCGCCACTGATCTTATCACAAACTTGCATGCACCCTACCATAACATAAAGACCCTATAAAAACCCATATAACCCTACAATACACCCACATAGATCCTATCACAAAATCACATACACCCAACCATACACATGTAAATACCACTGTCCTTCACCACAAAGACCCTGTCGGGTATCCACAAAGACACTTTCATACTTACTTCTCTGATTCTAGCATGAGATCAAGCAACATCTTCTCCACGGTGACCTGAGCAAAGTGAAGCGAATGCTTTACTCGTTTTCTGAAAGACAGAAACTCAGGGATCTTGTGAAATGATCCAAACTTGTATGCAGCTATGATGTGTTCTGTTGTCTGTAAAAAAAAGCAAGCAATTTGCTCTACTTCAAATTTCCTTGAACTAAATGTCATTCTCCAGCATAGATTGCGATTCTAAAGTATTATTTCAAAAGACATAGGCCCGTATTCTGAAGTCGTGTCTAACTTAGCCACGTCTAAAGTTAAACAACTGTTTAGTTAGACACGACTTAGACACGACTTAGACGCGAGGTCGTGTCTAAGTCCTGTTTAACTAAATTTCGTATTCTGAAGTCGTGTCTAAGTCTCGTCTAACTAAACAACTGTTTAAGTCCTGTCTAAGTGGTGTTTAACTAAACAACTGTTTAAGTTCTGCGCAAGTCGTGTTTAACTCTTAGTCACGACTTCTGGGCATGCCCAGTAGGCGTTAATTCTGACGAAAGACCCAATGCGCATGCGTGCGCGCACCGGATAAATAAATTAACGCGCACAGCTAGCTGTGCGCGTGCTGGTACCATGGTGATGTGATCGTGACGTAATGACTAGACTGCATGTACTTTGTGTACGTACGTACGTAGTACACGTACTGTACACTGAGATTGACAAACACACTACTTATCGGTGCCTCAGTGCTCGGAAGAACCACAAAAGAAACTTCTCCAACAGAATGGTTAGTTTATTATAGATTATGGAATTTCCAAGATGTCACCAGTAGATAAGAATAGTTGATATTATCGAGAAAAAAAATTAGGCTACACGAGAAAAAATCCTGCAAAACGTATTTGAAATTTTGGAGAATGCACGTACCATCGTTCTCCCCCGCAACTTCGGGGTCAGCAAGTACAGTGTACCGTCGACGTTGAAAAGCAGCAGAATCGCGCCCTTAAACAGGACTTAAACAACCCCTCGCAGTTGTCTAAAGTTAAACAGGACTTAGACAGGACTTCGTGTTTAACTTTATGTAAACACGACTTCAGAATACCAAAAAAGTTAGACACGACTTCGTGTCTAAAGTTAGACGGGACTTAGACAAGACTTAGACAACTGTTTAGTTAAACAGGAGTTAGACACGACTTCAGAATACGGGCCAAAATCAATGACATGACGTATACTTTACTCTGATACCCCTGTCAGACCAACAAGACCAAGACCAGACCAAGAAGACCAAGACCAGACCAACACGAGACTGAACAAACAATTACATTACTTACTATGGTCCACTAGAATGGTCCATTATTTAGAGTCGGTGTAGCCATGTGATTAATGCCGAAGTCATATTTAAACAATAAACAGCGACGAGTTCACGATTAGTTCAGGGCATATTTTGGCCCTTTTAGGTCAGTGCCCTAGGGTGACCAGAGGGTGGCCCGGCTGTTTTTGTTGATCGAGAACACGCCCGAAAAATTTTAAGTTTGACTTTTAAGAAAAGGCAAAGTATTTTTTTCATCCTCAAAAAAAAACTGTTTACATTTATCGTGGGGTGGCGCCAACTCATGTCAAATCTGTCGCCTGATTTCTCCCTGACCTGTACAGATCGCACCATGCCCGAAAATTGAGACATAAGGTATTACATCCTTATTCACCAGTTGGACATAATTTGAGTTTGGCGAGAAACATATTTTTCATAGACCCTAACCCAATATACTTAAGGCTTAGCACTCAACATATTAAGATTAAATCATTTTGTCAAATAATCTATCAAATATGAATAGAATGGTTTGAAAATGCTACTCATTGTTTATAATTATGTTATTTCGTGGTAGCATTGTCAGTTACAAAACTGCTTTCCACACTGGTCCAATCAATGCAATCATTCTCAGATAGAATTCAGATACACTAAAAGAAGAAGAAGTTTGATAAATCTTACATCTTTGTGATTTGAAGTGAAGAACCTAAGAGTTGAATTGTATAGTGAGTTGGCCGATGAAAAGTGGCCTAGTGACTTCACAAAGCTAGCTGCATTATATCTATAAAACAAACAGGTAAAAGAAAAGGAGAATGTATTGATTCAAAAGTCACCAGAAATATATAGCAATGTTCAAAGGTCAGTATTATTTAAAAACAAACACATGGTATAGTAATGGGATTAATGGTTTGTCACATAATTCTTGTAATTTATACATTCACAAATAAAATGAAGGCACAAAACTTTTCATTCCACGGATCTAGAAAGTGTTAAATAAAGGTATAAGGGCATAGAGAATTACGTGTTTAGTATCATGTGCTAAATAAATGGAAATTATCATTATTATCATTATTATAACAAGAAGAATGGTCACAATCATCAAGCAGGATGGTTAAGCAAAAAATCCTCTTTTTGTACTTATCCTACGTAAATAGAGACATTCTTTCTATAAAGAAACATAGTTATCATTCATTCATCTACATACAGAAATCCTTTGGTCTACTAGAGACGTGTTATCTAGGATAATGGAAGAATAACCTACATTACGAGGGGTCAGTGACAAAGACGTAACTCCATTTTGAGAAAAAGCGGTGTGTCACTGAGCACTTGGGCCTTAAGGAGTTAAGTCTATGTTTCACTAGCCATTGACTTCAGTGGGATGTTGGGTGGAGTTAAGTCTTTGTGTTTCCTGGAAAGCCCACATTTTTCTGAACATTTTGATATCAAATACTCATTTTGGCAAAATATGGAGTTACGTCTTTGTGTCACTGAACCCTTGATTGGATCTTACCCCAGAGTGTCTTGTTGTATGTGTTTGATATCTAAGCTGGTGAAGAGATCAGGGATGGGACCAAACACACCTGACAAGAAAACAATCAAGTATGAAAAGGTTTAGTCGAGAAGAGGGAATCATATATGTTTATCATTGTCATCATCATCGTCATCATCATTAACATCTCGGTCATCATCATCGTCATCATCATCATCAGTCCCTAATAACTGTAATTCATCATTAATAGGCAATGTGTGCAGCACTGTTTCGTAATTGTAAGAAAAAGGCAGGAAAGCAAATACTAAATTCATTTTGAATTGGAGGGATCAGAAGATATTCATCATTAAATCAAAGATATCAACCCCATCATTTTAGTTCCTCCTTCATATTTGTATCCGCATATCACAGGTACTATTGCTTTTACTCACTTGCTACACAGTAAAGTCTCATGAGAAGTAGTTTCATCTGACTGTTATTCTTGCTGTTTGTAATTCCCATCTCTAACATCATAATCATCTTCCATAGATGCTGGTCATCACCTGAAAAAATATTAAGTATTAATCCATCAGTAATCATAACCCTGAAAGAGAGGATTACCTACAGTAAAATCAAGATTTAAATTCTTGCTTCAGCTTCATCTAAGTGCCTGCAACCCATCATTTCTTGACATCTGTGCATATAAAAAATAATTACAAAACAAGGGATGGTTGTATTCCATGATGTGATAACATTTTGATTAAAAGTGATAGCTGGTAAATGGAGTAACTTAACAGCAATTTACAATTCATCTTGAGTAACACAACTCAAGAGAATTGACTGTTTAGAAGATCTGAAAAACCGTCACTCTTTTCCAACACATTCAATGATACAACAATTGTAAGAGGTAGTCGTCTGCATACTGATGATCAGCCGAGATGTATAACTACTCACTGTACCATGCACATATTAAAGTGACTTGGTAACATTGTTGAAGGTTGATGAAAAACTTGCTTGATTTTTGTATAAAATGTAAAAAAATTCTCAAACCACGAAGATATCTATGGTTTTCTGTGAAGGAGTCGATGTATGACACCCTCTTACAGTGAAAAACAGTAAATTCTCCCAACCATTTTTGAATTTTCCCAACCGTTTTTCCATGAAAAACAGAGACATAAACAAGGGAAACGCTCTCGGCGGTCTCGCCTGCATAACGCAATTCAATATGATAAACCAGAACGTCAATGACGTAGTGCTCATCCGCATCTTGCAACAACAAATATCGTAAATTTTATGTGGTACACTTTTGAACTGGACAAAAAATAAAAATTTGATGCCCTGGAAGGAACATAATTTCATTTCATTTGCATAAAGTACCATAAATAATCAATGGAGCAAAATCTCACAATTCTGTGTAGAAGTTTAGTGTTCCAAATTTAGCTCTACCAGATAAGGCAAACCAAATCAAAATCGGTCAAGAAATGAGGGAAAAGAAGCAATTTTTGTTATTTTTGGAATAAATTTACATAAATTACCATAATTAATTAATGGAGAACAATTTCAAAATTCTGTGTAGAAGTTTAGTGTACCAAAGCTAGCTCTACGATATAAAGCAGACCAAATCAAAATCGGTCGAGAAATGAAGGAGAAGAAGCCTTTTTGTGATTTCGAATAAATTTGCATAAATTAGCATAGATAATGAATTTCACGATTCTGTTTTGAAATTTTAAATCCCCCTCCTAGCCCTATCATATGAAACAATCAGAATCAAAATCGGTTGAAAAATAACGAAGAAGAAGCATTTTGAAAATCTTGATGTTGATGCCACAACAAAGTCTAAGTTTGTTGACCTTAAATGACCTTTGACCTTAACTTAGTGGCCTGAAATTCTACTCACATGATTGGGGAGACTTGATAACTCTATAGTCCAAGTTTCATTGACTAAGAACTTATACTTTCAAAATTATATCAAAAATTCAAAAACTTAACCTTTGGTTAAGTTTTCGATGATGATGCTACAACATAGTCCAAGTCTGTTGACCTTAAATGACCTTTGACCTTGACTTTGTGATCTGAAATTCTACTCACAAGATTGGGGATACTTGATTACCCTATAGTCAAAGTTTCATTGACTAAGAACCTATACTTTAAAAATGATATCAAAAATTCAAAAACTTAACCTTAGGTTAAGTTTTTGATGTTGACGCCGCCGCCGCCGTCGCCGTCACCGGAAAAGCGGCGCCTATGTCTCGCTTTTTGCTACGCAGGCGAGACAAAAAGGCTATAAAAAATCTGTCAACACTTAAATGTCTGGAATGGAATGTAGAGCCATTTTATTGCTTTGTGACGATTTCCATTCACCTAAAATGTAATTAAATTTGTAATAAAATAGTTAGGTGAATTAAGGAATCGATCAGGTCAGTTTTTCTCAATTTGTAACATGAATAATGGTTCTTTTTCACTCAATTTTTCAAATTATCTTTAATTGTACATCTAGCATTGAAGTCACTACCCTAGCACCACTATCTCTCATCTGAACAATGTTACCAAGTCCCTTTAACAAAGAGATGTGATAACTCACCAGTCTCCTCCCATACATCTAACAGTATATGTACAGTTAGTAGGAGGTAGTCATCAGCATACTGATGATCAGCCGAGATGTATAACTACTCACTGTACCATGCACATAATAACAAAGAGATTTGATAACTCACCAGTCTCCTCCCATACATCTAACAGTATATGTACAGCTAGTAAGAGGTAGTCGTCAGCATACTGATGATCAGCCGAGATGTTCCCTGCAGCAAACCGCAGACTCTGCCTGTGAGTTGCAGCCATCTCCATAGCAACGTCTAGTTTCTCTGCCGATGATAGAGTAGATTGGATACCCAATCTTCTGCTCAACTGAATGGTGCTAAGGTGCCTCTGAAGACCTTTGATCTGTAAAGGTAAAGATGACCAGAGTTCTCAAACTGTAAGGAATCCCTTTGATATTGATCAACTACTTTTGACATTATCTATATAATTTGTACAATACAGATAGAATTTTCATTATTGTATTCTAAAATTAATGTCCATTTTTCAATCACTCAATGGCCTTCGCTACTCACACCTTACATTAACTTCATCACAGTGTACGCATCTTTTGTCAATTGTATCTTTTGTCAATTTTCTGTACCATGTTGTTCTTAAATTGTTTATTTCTGCATACATTGTATTTCTAAGAGATGTAAATTAAATAAATTTGAAGACAAATCTCTCACAAGACCAAACAGGAACTTACAGAGGTAGCAATTGAGAGACCCTCCTCCTCATCTAAAGGCAAACGATCTTCCACCAGACTCTGAGTAAAGATAGCTCCATCCTCATCACCTAGGAGATCTGTGTATCTACTCAGATCACTATAGCAACAGAACTTAGCACCAAAGAGAGAGTGGTAATGCCTGATGTGATCTTGAGCTGAACCTGTGAGTCATAGGATTCACAAGTAGAACGGTGAGGGATTGAAAGATCATTAAACTCTCAATATAATGATAACTATCATACTTGAAAAGTTAAACTACAGAGAGAAATATTTCACCTTTCACAAACAGTACATAGTAAACACACCTGTTCCTCTGGTAGGTATATATCATTTAACATATCAGTGCAGAACATTTATCACAAAGCCATTGCAATGGCAAATATAATATCTTTTAAATGACTTACTCACAAGCAGTGTATTATTTTCTTTTTCTTTTTAAACATTTGAAATGAACAGGATTACAATAAAACATTTGCCATTCAAGTACACAGTCTTTCAGTATGAAGTACATCGCAAGCTCACCTATCCTTTCCCTTGCCTCTTCACCTGCCCCTCTCTTTGTAAGCTGTTGAATCAACTCCAGCCTAGCAAGGTAAGGTCCTCGAAGTGACCGGTCCACTCCTGCATCCCCTGAATTCTTAGACTTGGCTTCCTCTGTAACGATCTGCTCCTGGATGAAGCTGACCACCAGATCCAGGGTATGGTCAACCTCACCAAGCTTGGACTTCTCTCTATCAAAGAATAACAAACATATTTTATGAAATTTACAGGCATTGAAAATATCATTGACTAGTTCTAACATTTCTAAATGCTTTACCAGACTATCGTTGTTCCCAGATAGACACTGGGATTCAAGCCCCCATAGCATCAACATGTGTGCACCATCTCTACTCCTTGAAAGTATCCCGCCTTGTGCACACCCTTCAAATACTTGGATACCAAGCAATGGTAAATTGGCAATAAAATGCAATGCAATCAGATTACAGAGCTATCTTAAAGGCATCGTTTAACAATATAAATCTAGTATGCACGGCGCTACGTGTTATCAGTGTCTGTGATATGATGTAATATTGAAGTCCTGAAAGAATTGCGCTTCAAAATGATCATGAAGTGCCTCAAAAATTAAAAATCTTTGAGTGACCGGTTTTACCATACTCATTTTCCCCAATAGACTGTAGTGTTATAAAAACTGTTAGGATAACGAAAAATGGAATTTCAATTTCCAATCATAAATATCTTGATAATCAGACAGGCGATTGTCTTGTAAAATTCATGAGATTCCTGACCTAAAGGTTTATAATTATGAACGCAGCATTTTGTTACTGAATCTGAGGCATTGTTACAGAGTCACTTTAATAGGTTTGTTTTTTCTCAATATCTAGTGGCATATCAGAACTATTTTAGCTACCCGGTAAGTCTTTGGTGCTCTGACTGAAGTTTTAATCTCAAGACAATTTAGTCCATAGTCCTCTGACTTGTTCATTCGACCATAACACCTCGATCAAGAATCATTGAAATTATATCTAGTGGCTTTTTACTGATACCTAGCCCTAAACCAAGACATAACCTTATATATATCTGACAAACCCAAGCCCAAAGCAAACATTACCCAATCATATTTCATTTCCACTCAATGATTGACACAAAATATCTTTTGAACTTACTGTTCATCTTCAGGAGGGGTCCATGATGCATCTAGGAGCTTGAAGGCTGAAGTGAAGTACTGTTCATAGAAAAACCAATTGTCTGGCCTATTGCATAAAACAAAGAAGAACTGTTAGAGAAAACACACCTCCATCTAATAACTCACCGTCATTTGTATATAGTAATGACATACTCCACTCATGGTGAATCAGCCATACAACCAGAACTGTTAATACAAATTCAGAAATTAAAGTTAAACAAAGGAGTCAATACCTTTTTTCTCAACGACAAATGATTTGACGGACATAGACAATATAACTACTACTTAACAGACATACGTAAATAGTCAATTTTGACTGAACGCCAACAATACAAACAACAACAACACCTTTGCTTCTGACTTATAACCCATCAAGAAAGACCAAACTAATAATGTACTTACTGTTTGAGTAGCAATGATCTATAGGCGTTATTAGCCTCAGCACATTTCTCCATCTTGGTGAAGAGCTCTGCCTTGCGGATGAGTACTCCATCAATTTCACTGTTCATCAGCTCTGAAAGAAAGGAAGACAGTCTTACAATAAAATCATCTGTACATCAAACAAGATAATATGAAATATTGGGATCTTAGATCTTTAAGAAAGGGTGATGTTGACTGCCAACATAACTTATTTGCATCAAAAAGGATTACATTTACATACATGCCAACATTTGAAAATCAGAAATCTGTACACTATGTGCGCAAAGCGCACATCACGAGCGCGAAGCGCGAAGTCTTTTTAGCCGGGGTCCAGGGCCCGCTTTAGGGCCCTGGAAGCTCTGGGTTTCCAGATGCTCTCTGGTGCAATCTGAGCCTATTTTAGGGACCATTTCCCCTAAAATTCAACCCAAGTTTATGGGTAATTTTTGTGTCATAGGTCTAGACTAGGTCTAGGCAAATTCATGCAAAAAAATATATTCAAGAAATTGACTTGAAAACACATCAGACAATTAGTCTGAACCGAGTCAGGAGCAAATTTGAAGAAATTATATTTTTAAATGTTGTAAAACCAAAGATATTAGAAGAAAACTGACAAAGTATCTGTACTAAAAATCGTACATTCGACAGCTGAAAATGACGCGCACGGTTGTGGTACGTGCGTTCTCGAATCCAAAGTCGTATCTCACACACACACTCTCGCCATACCGCGAATGGTCCGTCGTGGGGAGCTAGCCGCCCGAGAGTTTGCCAGCGATACCAACGCACCCTCGGAGCTCCGCAGCGCACAATTTTAGCGGAACTCGAAAGGTTCGAGGTGGGAAGGTGGCGGGCTAGCTTTTTGCCATCGTTCCTTGTATTCCTGTTTGTACTTCTGAATTCGTCTTGCTGCTGTTCCGCTCATTTTGACAGATTTTCTTCCGAGACAAATCACAAATCACAAAGTATACGGTACCTCGAAACACGTACTTTGCATGGGGACCCTAGCCGCGATAGCCAATGCATGCTGCTGCGCTGTTATGCGTGCAAACGTATAGAAATTATACTTACGAGATTTGCCAGCGCAAGTATTTACGTACGGAAATGTTACGTACGGAAACATATATCAGAGTGCACGTGGCGCGCAGTAACACGCTGCCACTGTACGTACATATCAGTGCACGCTGCACGCACCTTGCGCAATGCAATCCGTTCAGCAATCGATCGGATCAATACTATGTATGGAAAGCCAAATTCCCCAAAATCGGAACGTTCCGTTTTTTAGGGCTATAAAAACTTCAAAAACGGAACAGTTCCGTTAAAATCGGAACGGTTGGCATGTCTGCATTTAACATATGTTCAGAGAAAAACAGGTATTTAAACGTTGCATTCAGTGATGCCGATGAGCCATTGCAGCCCTAGTCACACATGATGCAGGAAATTACTCTGAGATCAAAAAATAAAAAATAAAAAATGCTGCACAAAACAATGGCCTCACTACATATATAAACTCACTAATCTGTATGTCATACGATATAGAAATATGAAGCACAATGTGCTCTTTTTCATTTCACTTTTCAAGCATTCAACCTAATCATGTCTAAATGGGCTTTGGGTGTTGAAGGGGGTGTAGCACGACGACTACGTGTCTTTCCTTTGGCCTGACTCAGGGCAATCGGGTATAATACGACTATGGACGACGCGACCGCAGTATTCACGTGCGTGCAACATACATGAAACTAAAGTGAAGGAGAACTTCGGTCAAGGATAGAGCTGGGTTTGGGGGAAATGGTTCTCTTTTTTACACAAGCCCTTGGTTCCCAGTAAAACCTACTAACATGATATTGATAGGTTCATTTCAAATGGTAAGCAATCTTTACCATGATCTATTACATTGTACTGCACATGGTCAAGTTATACCTAACTAGCTTGACCACTGATTATTATATTGTACTGTACATGGTCAAGTTATACCTAACTAGCTTGACCACTGATTATTATATTGTACTGTACATGGTCAAGTTATACCTAACTAGCTTGACCACTGATTATTATATTGTACTGTACATGTACATGGTCAAGTTATACCTAACTAGCTTGACCACTGATTATTATATTGCTGTAGTACAAAAAGAGTTTGGTGAACATGTGCTTACTTCCTAATGGTCCATCCAGTATCTCTATGGCCTTGTCATGTTTCCCAAGATAATCTAGCACCATGAGATAGAGAATGACCTCCGCCTCAGCGTCCAGCTTATTCTCCTTGACCATTCTCTCAATCATCTTCTCTGAGAGAGGAAAGTACATAGTGGATGCCAGCTTGGTGTCAACACTCGTTAGACCCTGAGAAAGAAATGGAAGTTTAGATAAACTCAAATGAGTCAAATCGTACCATCAGACATTTTATATTAAGTAATTGATTTGAATACATAGTCATCATTCATAATGTGGAAATCAAACATGAAACTTTGAAAACTTTCAGTCATGATGGTAATTTTAAGAGGTTTGAAGAAAAAAAATTACTTCTGAAGGCATCTACAAAATTCCAGAGATGTATGCAACTCTGTATTTATTTTTCTCAATCATCTCACAATTCATATTAGACTGCAGATTTGTATTGGGTCCAAAATAACTTAATTAGTTGTGTTAATTGTAATATGATGTGGTATCTTTTGTGGTTGTGTTGTTGTTATGTTGTCACATTTGTAAGGTAGCTCGGCTAAAGCTGGGGATCTAATATGATTGCAGGGCCCTCAGGGAGAACAGCATTAATATTGATTAAGGCAGTTCAAAAATTGTATTTTGAAAATCGTATTTTATTGAGGAAAATCGTACTGTCGTATTTGCTTCTAAAAATCGTACTAAATACGACTAAATCGTACTGGTTGGCAGGTCTGTTTAGGGAACCCTGGGTAAACAAGACATATTTATATTATTATTACTATTAGTATTATGCTGATTGTAGCACTTTTCTGTTGCATTACATAGATATTGTTCGGTTGAGCTGTGCTGTATTGTATGTTGTGGCTATGAGCTTGCTTCTAATGGGGACACCAGCTAAGTAAGTCTTGTTCACAGTATCATATGAAACAGATTACTTTAGAAATCCAAATTATACTTCAAATATTTTCTTCATATATTTCTATTGAGATGTACGAAATAATGCTCACCTGCATCACAACACTCATGACACCCCAGAAGTAGTATGGATTCTTGGGAAAAGCTTTGTACAAAGCCATAGCAACCTGCAATGAACAATAAACAATTAAACATATATATTGATATAGGGCACTACAAACAAAAAGGTAAAACAATATAAAACATATCAAACAAATTAAATCAAATTAACTAATAGTAGGAATAATTAGGAACATGTCAATAGACCTTTAGAAGAAAGTGGAATAAGGTACTATGATGCAGTATCCACATACTTACAATGTTTGACAGTTTTAGTAGTTAGGATTAGGAAATGATTAAGTAAAGACATTTTTCACTTAAATCAACTTGATTTTCAACAAACAATTTTTTCTTAATGACTATCATTGATTCCCTTGTAAGATACAAAATCATTAAGGTGGGATATGCATGTGTGCAGCTGTAAACTGGCAACTAGCTGAAGAAGATTATTCTAATGCTGATTCTGTAATAACATAGTAAAGCACTTTGACAAGTTGCTTGGACAGGTGATAAATAACATTTACCAGTACTATGAATATTATTCTCAATAAAAAAAGTACATTTGTAACAAACCTGTTGTTGCCTCTTGCAGTTTCCTATTCTGACTAAGGCCATAAAGAGATAAGTGTGAAACTCTTCATTCTGTGGCTGGTTCTTTAGAGCGCTGCTGTAAATCTCTACTATCAACTCAGCTGTAAAGAAATATGTTATTGAAATGTTGAATCAGTCATTTACAAATCATAAAAAATAAAGTCATAACTGTTATGGGATGTAACATCAGCCTGAATATAACCAATATAATGAAAAATGATATATGTCAGAAGTAGTCAGGCATTTATAGGCATGAACATGTCAGAGATACTTTTTTCAGAATATTTCCTGTCATCTATGTGTATATATTGTAATCAAACTCTATATGCAATGTTGTTAAAATGATATAAAGTAATAAAGTGCCTCGTATGAGGAAAAGAGAAGGAAAAAAATCTCTCACGTTTCTGCATCTCCCTGAAGCAGATAGAAAGGGCTGATAATGTAGCCTCATCCGTTGGCTTGACCTCAATGACATCTTCTGTGATTGCTAGACTCTCTTTCCTACGACCCATGCGAAGGAGAGCTAGTGCCTTCAACACCTACAACATAACAAACATTAACATGAGATATCATGAGAAATATTCAATGAAATTTCATTTCCTTTTCACCATCTAAACTATAGATTATCTTTCATCTGTGACTGTGACAACACTGTGTCTCCCTATGCCTGGTCATGGACAATGATCTATGACACCAGATGACGAAAAAGGATTTTGTAATACTGTATAAGCATTCTTTTCAGAAGGGTTTAATTTTTGTAAAGGGTCGCAAATTTAAGAGCAAGCAACAATAATGCACTCACAAACATCATTGGTATGAAGCCCGTGATGATAATTCTGACAAACTAACAACCCACAAACATGTATGTGCCTGCGCAATTCACAAAAATATCTGATCCTATAGTATGTATACACATTTGTAGTTGAATTTCTCTTGGGAGTTTGGAGAGGTTTGAGGGAACCAATTAGATGTGCTGCAGAAAAGAAGACATGGATTGAAGAATCTGTTGGATACATAGAACTACTGTCTTACCTTAGCACAATGAAGATCCTTGTGTTTCTTGAGCAGTTTATCTGCAGCCTGCAGTGCCATTTTGTAGTTGCCATTATCAAGATTGTCTGCAGGAAAAAAATGAAACACTACAATGCAACATTCTCTTGGTGCAGGTATTTCTGTACAACATGCAGAGTTGATGAATGTAGCACATTCTTTGATAATTTTTCTGGTAACAGAACAAGTATTCATGAATCCAAGCTATTGAATAAAAAAGTAAAATTGCATGCATAGTCTCACCTGTGGCCAACAATATGCATTTTAGAAAAGTGTGCCAAAGATGTTCCAGAACACAACTGGCTGGCCATTTTTATTCTAACAGAGTGGTCCAACCTTAGAATAATCTACCAGAAAAATTTGTGTCTGCACCTACAGTGGTAACTTTTAAGAGTCATTTGAGAGCCCTTCCCTTGGCTAATCTACCAAGTACACCAACTAAGTATAGAATGAAGTTATGAACACTACAAATGGACGGTTCATGACAAAACAAAGTAGCAATCAGCAATTTAAACAATTGACAATGCTTTGAAACAGGTCAAGCTCCTGTCCACTTCCAGCATCTCTTATTTTTCTCCTACAACCTACATTATTTAATGTGGACTGTAATTTACAAGAGACACTTGAAAAAGATGTCCTGCGTCTAGAAACACACAACAAAACCATTATTATTGTATTTCTAGATCTAGACTCTAGATCTATTCGTTAAACTTTATTTAAAGTCAAAATTTAACAATGAAGCGGGAAGAACATAAATTAAAGAAAGAGAGGAGAAAGAGGAGAGTAACGATTATTATAGTTGGAAATCGAGATGAAGAAGAAGAAGAAGAAGAAGAAAAAGAAGTGGATCGCATTTTGGTTTGTCACCGTAGTTACAATGCCTCAAGCATGTTTTATCAATCATCTGCCTACATCTCTACATGAAACTCAATATGTGGGACAACATTGTAAATGTCTGCCTGGAGCACCCACATTCATATCCAAGAAGTCTGAGACAATACTATTTAGCGGCTTCACTAAAATAAAAACACCGTCCACTTAAGAATAGGGTTACGCATTTGGTAATTAATTTCATGAACAAAAATTCATTCTCTTCTCATCTCACTCACTCTCAAAATCCAATTTCGAGTCCCGCCTCTCGGACTCGGGTCGGACTCAGCCAAATTTGGCCTCGCTCTCGCAACTATATAATTCGAGTTCTTGTCATTTTAAACACAAAGAAAGGTCATGGAAAACATTTCATACACATATACCGAATCTCTCAACTATCAACTTTGAAGAAATAGTTCATATTCGTCATATACGCACCGTATAAAGGCTTCAGTCGCCTTTCATTGACGACATCCACATGGCCACTGCGACCCGCCATGTTGAAAACTGAGAGATGAAAGGTAACGCGATGCACGAGATAAATGCAGACGAGAGCCTTACACGAGACTATTTCTTGGTATGCAAATAGGCGTGGCATCGGCATTAGTGCCAATGTATAATGTTATCGTTATTTTTTATGTCACCCTCTCTCGATCCGGCCTCTCCCTCTTTTTCCTCTGTCTCTCATCCATTTCTCTCTTTCCACTCTATTTCCCTTCCTTCTCGATCTCTCTCAGTATTCCCTTTTCTATTTCGATCTCCATAAATAAGTCCCTATTTCCCCCCACTTTTTTCATATCTCTGCAGAGACTACTTTCCCTCCCTGGCATTATAATAATCAAAATTCCCCCAAAATGAAGAGTAATGCGATACATATGACAAACAATTCATCTCAATGTCACTGTTGAGCAATGAGCACCATATTACACTTTCAAATACAAAAATAATACGGTAACAAAATTAAGTGTTGCAGAAACTGTCTCACTTTTCTCGTTACCAATACTCATCATCACTCAGTCAGTCATACTTAAACCATGGACAAACCAACAACAACAACATGGACAAACCAACTGCGACGATGACTGGTCAAAAGAAGAAATATACAAAAACAATTTGAATTCCAATATTAGTTTTATTATATCGCTCGTATTAAATGTCTTAAGTTCATGGATTGGTCAAGAGCTCTGTGGTCATTCATAATTCTACGAGAAGATAAATTCCTTTGCGGGGGATGGGTGTGACGCAGGGGCGTACGCAGAGGGGGGGGGGGTTGGGGGTTCAAACCCCCCCTTTGGTATTTTTATGTGTGTAAACCCCCCTAAAAAAAACTAAACCCCCCCCCCCCCCCCCCCTTGAAAAAATCCTGCGTACGCCCCTGGTGTGACGTCAGTCACGTCACACTCCGTAAGATAATTTTGTTAACTATTTTCTCTTCGACTGCCCCGGTCAGTCCGAAAAAGAAAGTCGAGATTCTGATATTGTGTGGGCCTATACTCTAGTCATTGTATGAATTATAATCGGGGCGCTAGCAACTAGGGCATTGCGGCAGCAAAGACTACAAAAGAAGTTCCTCCGTTAGGTTTTTCTGGCTTTCATATAGAGGAGCATTATTTGTAGTCTACTGTTTTCGAGCAGGCCGACCTTCTAGTAACACGACCTCATGCAGTGACCTCAAGCTGAGGACAAAGTCTGACCTCAGCTCAGCTCAGGGTCAGCCGCCGCACGCGACTGCGAGTCTATCGAGAACCTGGAGTTATGTAACATGAGTCTATAGACTCGCTCGAGGACGAAAATGGGACGCGCAGACAGTGGCGTACCTGGGGTACTCCGTCAGGGGGGGCAAGCGACCGAAACAAACAAAAAAGGCGATGCTAATTTTCACTTCTGGCGAGCGAGCGAGCGAGCAAAAAAAAATCTTAAAGTAACGTTTGGTATATAAACTGGTATTGTTGCAAGTTGGGGGTGGGAACATTCACTTGTTAGCGACGTTAATTTCATTTTTTTGCAAACTAGTGTAGCGAGCAAGAAAAAAATCACTTATTTTTTAATAATTGCCACTTAAACTTGGTTCAATTGTCCCATGCAGGGCGCGGGAACAATATTGTGTTTACGGTGATTTTATACCCATTTTAGCTAGCGAGCGAAAATACATCTTTCTCTCAATGAATCGCTATATAAAATTTGTTTCATTGTTGCAGGTAGGGGGCGGGCACAATCGTGTTTAAGGCAATGTCAATCCCATTTTGGCGGGCAGGCAACCCCCTACATTTCTCTTTTTAATGATATTGTAGCAGGTTAGTGGTGGGCACATAATTCCACGAGCTAGCGAGCGTAGCGAGCGGAAAAAAATCACTTTTCTTTTATAGGGAAAATATGGTACATAAAACTTGGGTTCATTATTCCATGTCAGGGACGTGATTATTAAAAGCGGTGTTAATTCTATTTTGGCGAGCGAGCGTAGCGAGCGAGCAAAATTTTTGTAATGATAATCGGTTCATAAATTTCAGATTTTTTTGTTGCAGGGCAGGGCTTACACAATCATGTCTAAGGTGATGTTAATTCCGTTTTGGCGAGCACGAGCACACCAAAACTTCTTTGAATAACGTTTCGTACATAATTATTAACTGGTTGTTGCAGGTTGGGGCGGGCACGTAAGCGGTGTCAATTCCATTTTGGCGAGCGAGCATAGCGAGCAAGCAAAAAAAATAATTCTCTTTTAATAGAAATTAATAAATAAACTTGTTTTTATTGGTGCAGGTCAGGATGGACGCAATCGCGTTTAACGCGATTCAATTCCTTTTTGGCGAGAGGGCGAAAAAACTCTTCCATTTTTAATGATATTGTTGCAGGTCAAGGGTGGGCACAATTGTTTCCAAAGCAATGTCTATTCATTTTATTCGCGAGCGAGTGTAGCGAGCGAGAAAAATGAATTAGTCTCTTTTAGTAACATTTGGTACATTGTGTGTTATTGTTGCCATGGTTGCAGGTCGGGGCCCGTCGGGGCAGGCACAATTGTATTCTAGGCAATACTAATCCTTTTCTTTTTTCAGGGGGACGAGGAAGTGAAAACATTTAATACAAAATAGGCTAGCAAGCAGTTCGCGCCAGCGAAGAGTTTCAAATTTGTTATATCAATTATATTTTCCTATTTTCATTTGTTTTAATTTTTCAGGGCCGTATGCGGAATATTTTTCTGATGGGGGAAGGGGGAAAGATGCGTTAAAAGTTTTCGAAGAATCTCAAAAGCAAAAGGAGTGAAGGGAGTTCGAGCGACCTAACTGGTCATGAGGGTACTTTTGCATTTTCAAAAGTAGAATTGAAGGATTTGGTATAGGCCTACACTACATTTTCAGGAAAAAAACTGTACGATTTCAAAATATCTGGGGTCAACTGCCCCCCCCCCCCCTGGTGCTTACGGCCATGTTCTTTTTTTTTTCCCATTTTTATTCCTTTCCTTTTCTTTTCCCTTTTTCTTCCTTTTCTCTTCTTCTTCCTTTTTTCTTTCCCTTTTTTCCTTTTTTCTCTTTCTTTCCTTTTTTCTTTCCTTTTCCTTTTTTCTTTTTCTTTCCTTTCCCTTTCTTTTCTTTTCTTTCCCCTTTTTCTTTTTTCCCCTGGAGCCCGTCAGGGGGGGGGGGCACTCTGCCCCCCTGCCCCCCCCCCCCCCATAGGTACGCCAGTGCGCGCAGACAATAAATACACAGTAGCGAAATACAAGAGTTTGACCTGTTCGTCCGGTCGGGGAGATTGATTATGGGAAAATCAACTATTTCAAATGGAAATCTTTATCAAAATATTTAATACTGCGAATATAGTCATGTTTAAAATTCGTACTAATATATATATAATACAGTATAATTTGGATAAGCCTCCCTCACGGCAATACAAATAATAATTAAAACAATGGAAATATTAGAGGCCACTTATTATTATTTTCATTATATATTGTGTGTGTGTATTCATATTTATATATTGTGTTTTTATATGTTATCTGTATCTGACATTTTTGTGATTGTTCTACCATTATCATACTGAAGGGTTGCCCTAAAAAATGTGATATCGATTCCAATCAAGACTCGTACACTATGAGGTTACTGCTTTTACTTTTGACAAAGAGCTATCATAATCAAAAATGTTTGCCCATTTAATTTCTAACTCAATAATTGAGTATCATTAAGTTACCTAAATACATCACATAACAAACAAACAGTTCATTGTACTTGTAAGCGAGTCATTCGATGAATATGACTAAGATCCTCATCGTATTTATATGACTATAAATTACTGTTAGGCCTATACTCATGAACTATGCACAACTAATCTTCAGTTAGTTTTCTCCATATTACTTTCAATAAATAAAACAGAACCATCAATGTTGTAAGTCAAATGGTCTTCTTATCAGAAAGAAAAGCCATCTACGAACACAATCATATGGCATGTTTTAACTATACTATATGGCGTGTATGAAGATTGTTCATCGCATCAATCAGAATCAGATTGTCTCTGCAGAAGATAATTAGGCACACTGATGAGGTAATCTGGACTAATGGCGGCCAAGTTCCCGTGTCGATTTTTAGTCCCACTCTCCCTCTAGATTGACAGAAATCCTAAGGTTGGTTCAGCTCCCTCCTAACCCAATCAGCTGTGCAGTCTTAGGGTTCGAGACTGGGTAAACACGCTCTTGTGCTACATCGAGCAAATTCAATCTTTTCCTATCCGTGTTCTTGGACTGCTCTTTTACGAAATCGGTGACATCGCGTATGCTAACGATCCACTCCGTGGCGTACTTTCGTAGTGTCTGGGATTTGGATAAAAACAAACAAAACAAAACGTGAAATAATTATATAGAGTGTAGTAGTGCAGCTGCACATCTAGTTGCCAGGAGAATGAGATCCAAAGGTAGCGAGTAATAAGTTATCTTAGCCCCTCCCAACCACATGCAGGTGATGCCAAATAGATAAAAACGAATAAATAAAGGAATAAATAAATAATGATAATGATATTGTTAGTAGTCGTAATAATAGAAATACAAATAACAACAATAACTATAATGATAATACTACTACGAACTAATTCTTCTACTACTATATTTTAGTAATAGTCTACTACTATAGTGTACTACTTAGCCTTTTCCTATTACTGATATTATTAATACTGCCATAAAGAATAATAATAAACAGTGATAATACCAAGTCCGTTCCCACCAAATTGTTTAATTCCCCTTTTTATCTAGCTTTCTTCTTCTTCTTCTCTCTCTCTCTCTCTCTCTCTCTCTTTCTCTATTTCCGATGTCTGTCTACTAGGCTCTTGTTGTGTGACTCAGAACCTGATGAAAGGTAGGGGGTAGGTATTTGATGATGATGATTGTTTTATCTGCCTGCTAAGAAAGCATTTAATATATGCTTGTAAGTAAACAACCAGGGGACCGACGGCTGTGAGTCCTCCAGTAATGAGGATTAATGCCATTCTAAAGAACCGAGCGCATTGCCTTGGTTTCGAACCCCTGACCGCCAGGTTACGAGACCACTCACCACTGAACCTTCGCGCCTCCTTCGAAAAGTAATTAGGTAAGTAAAGTAGGTAAGGTAATCACCTCTCCTTTGAGTCCCATCTGTATAGCTCTCCTGTCCATCTTGTCACCGTTAGGGGCGTGGTCTGGGTCCCATTGTAGTCGCACTTCAATCTCCTCCTTCCCAAGGCCTGCTGTTGCCTGTGTTTGAGGAGTATACGCTTTGGAGAGGATCTCATCAAAACCTTCCCGAGTGATTCGAACAGCCAGGACTCGCTCCTGGTTAGGCTTAGACGCCCAGCCGCAACGATACATCATCCACAGGAAATTCGTCTTGATCCATGACATCCGACTGAACGAAAATTTGTCACCTCCAAACCTTCAAAAGCACACAAGTAAAAAATAAAATAATAATAATAATAATAATAATACATAATGAATGAATTAATTAATAAAATAATGGATATCAACCAATATTTGCTATCTTATCACACATTGTTAAAGCTTATCTGCCATAGTTTACAGGAGGGATTAGACCGCCCTGCAAGGTCACTGGACAGGTGGTTATCTCATCAACTCAGCTCTCAGTTAACATAAGAAAAAGAGGATCATGGGGGACCAATGGTCACCGATTAGGCATTGTTTGTTATATAGAGAGCGCAAGTAGCTACAAGTAGTGCAGTGGGCCTTTAATTCAATAGCCAAAAAGGCAATCAAGGGGCAGGCGGTCCGATCCGACCGAGTCGCGGACAAATAATAATTCAAACATTTTCAGGCATCCAGTGTTTCTGAACTTATCCAAACTGAAGAATGGGTGCGGGAAGAATTAAAGTCTCAAGAACTGAAAATTCTTGGTAATTTTGTTATCTAAAACGAAAATGATGCCAGTCCCTGGTAAGAAACTCTTCAGTGCACGCACCCCCCCCCCCCGACCGTCACAAACACACAATACACACACACACATACAAAAATATGAGTCTCATATATGAGTAGGCAGGTGTACGTTCTTATGTCACGTTAGAACTTAATTATTCAGTATAGTACATCTTTGGCACTTTATGCAACGTGTATACATTACTAAACAATATGGTTTTCTTAATAGATATCGTCACAAAATGCCCTAGCTGACTTGGTTAATAATAATATTTGATAATGATACATCAAGTGTGTAAAGACTTACCGTTGGTGGTCAACAGCGTACTTAGCGATTGCTGGACAAAACGCCTGGTACACGACTACACTATGTTCGTCAAACTGAGCGAGAATATGTTTTCCTGCAATAGGCCAACACACATTATTTTGATCACAATATTTTTCGGTAGCCCACTCCATTGCTTTCTTAGCATTCTGTGAACCGGTCGCCATGACTTGTAATAGTTGTTTTACACAGTCTAACGTTGAACATTTATACTGACTCTCATTCCCTTGTTCCCGAACAGAATGTAGATATATATTGCACGATGACAATGAAAGCAATATGTTTCACTGTATGGTGTAATATGCTATCGGTCATAAGCGGAAGTGTGTCATCTACACGCACGAACGCATTACCAGTACAGCAGCGTAATATCTATCGAGTGAAATTAAGGACTGGTCATCTCCCTGGTCATACGAAGTTTGCAGGCACAAACCCTGTTCAGTCGTAAAAGAGAGTCTGCACTATAAGACTACCATAGGCCATGTACTATAGCTGCTCCTGACACAACCAGTAGGTAGCTGGGCTAGGCTTCTCTCAAGGCACAATGATTTTTTTTGATATAGTGTCAAATTAGGGTCTGTGCTAGCAGACTAGGTCATACGTACGTAGAAATGATCCATTTCCATGTAAGAGGAGCGGTTCTAGGACACCTACCCCTGGACATCCAACCCCCCCCCCCCCCCGGGTAACCACCCCCAGTCAACTACGCCCTAGGACAAATATCCCCGAGGACAACTACCTCCGAGATCAACCACCCTCTAGGACAACTTCCTCCGGGACAACTACCCCCGGACAACTACCCCAGACAACTACCCAATATTACAACTACCCCATAGGACAACTTACCCCCCCCCCCCCCGGACAACTCCCCCATGGACATCTACCCCCGGACAACTACCCCTACGACAACTACCTCCCGGACAACTACCCCTTCGACAACCATCCTCTAGGACAACTACCCCGGGACAACTATCCTTGGTGTAGTTGTCTGGGTGTATTTGTCCGGGGGTAGTTGTCCTAGGGGTTAGTTGTTCGGGGGTAGTTGTCCTAGGGGTAGTTGTCTTGGGGGTAGTTGTCCTAGAGGGTGGTTGCCTTATAGGGGTATTTGTCTTTTGGGGCAGTTGACTGGGGGTGGTTATCCGTGGGTGGATGTCCAGGGGGTAGGTGTCCGGATCAAAGAGGCGCGCAGCGAGGTTCTAGGACAATAATTTTACCCCCTGGGCAATCACTCCAGGAAAATTCCCCTCGAACCCCCCCCCCCCCCCCCAGGACAATAACCCCTCGGAGAATTACCCCCCCCCCCCCCCGAAAAAAATCTCCTTTTATAAAAGCAACTCATTATTAGTCTGGACTTCCCCTTTGACGGTATTATGTCCCATTTGCAGGCCCCCAAAAATGATAAGGTTAAAATATAACGGCACTTGAAAGTTTAAACTAATTTAGAACTTCCCCAAAAAAGGGGGGGGGCTTGAAAATGTCATTAAGTTGAAAAATAACGACTATTAGTTGTCAAATCGACTTAAAAGCTAAAGAGCCAGTAAGTAATAGTCGGATTTTCAGACCATTTACCGAATGGTCGTACGTTTTATGCTGCGCAAAGATTCAATCAGTTTAATTTTGGCCATTACAAGAAGTGGGTTATTGATGTAGACAAATGCTCATGTACCCTTTACAGCTCATTTTATGGAAGTTATTACCAAAGAAGAAAAAAGCCAGTCAGTCACTCAATAGTATCTGGCAGTGAAGTCTAGCAAGTAAACGGGTTTCCTTGCGTAATTTGAATATTAGGACACTGCTAACGATTAAATTTCACAGATAGGATATTTCATGACATTATTTTTGCAAAGTTTTACAGAATTTGATGTTGGCTGCAAAAGGGAAATAGTATCTTTAAAGGGGAAGTCCACCCTGAAATTAAGTTAGTTTTAATAGGAGTAGAAAAATGAGAGAAACAAGTCAGTGAAAGTTTGAGCAAATTCCGATTAAAAATAAGGAAGTTAGGATTTTTGAAGTTGTGATCAATCAAACACAAATTGGCAACTCTATGACGTATCATGCGAGCTCAACTTCCATTTGCTCAGTACTAAAAAAAATCTAAAATTTTCATTTTCCCTCAAGAAAAATTTCAACCATACATGCACCCTAAATACACTGTCGCTCATAAAGGTGGAATATTTTTTTTTAATTCCAATTTATGGAATTATTTTAAAAATAATTTAAAAATAATAGATCTAGATAATAGTATACATTCTCAGATTTTATTGAATAATAACTTGCCAATGTGTATTTTGCGTGACTGCTAAAGCATGTGTATGCTACTATGCTTATCAACTAGGGGACCTATGCCCTTTAGTCATAAATGACAGTAATGAGTATTAATGCCCCACAAAAGGGCACTAATATAGCACATCGACACGGTTTTGATCCTGGGGCCTCACAGTTACGAGGTCATTGCTTTGTCACTGAACCAATTCTGTGTGCCCATGCCTTGAGCCATAATGCATGGCAGACCAGAGGATTTTTTTATGTTGGGGACCGGGGTAAAATGCAATAAATTATTGAAAATTTATTGCATTTTGTGCATTTTTTTTAATTTATGGAAACTGCCCCCTACCCTAGCCCCCGCTGCATACAGTCATGGTTCAGTGACAAAACAATGGCCTCGTAACTGTGAGGCCCCAGGATCAAAACCGTGTCGGTGTGCTATATTACTGTCATTTATGACTTGAGAGCGTAGGTCCCCTAGTTAATAAGCATAGTAGCATACACATGCTTTAGCAGTTCCGCAAAACACACATTGGCAAGTTATTATTCAATAGAATCTAAGAATGTATACTATTATCTATATCTATTATTTTTAAATAATTTTTAAAATAATTCCATAAATTGGGGTTAAACTAAAATATTCCACCTTTATGAGCGACAGTGTATAATAATTGCAAATATGTTTCTATACTCCCCCTGCATAGAACAAATATATATTCCGTCATCAATAACGAAGAAAACATGATTTTATGGAATATTATGCACAAAGCAAATGAAGGAGAGCTCGTATAATAAGTCACAGAGTTGCCAATTTGTATTTGATTGATCACAACTTCAATAATTCATAACTTTCTTATTTTCATTCAGAATTTGCTCAAACTTCCACTCACCTGATTTTCTTATTATTCTGCCTCTATCGAAACAAACTTATTTTGGGGGTGGACTTTCCCTTTAAGGAACAGAAAGGGGGTGATTTTCGGGGGGATTGTCCTTGGTTGTCCTGGGGGTGGGGGTAATTGTCCTAGGGGGTATTTTCAGGGGTGGGGGGTAATTATCTCCGGAGGTCTGTAATTGCCCTCGGGGAGTAATTTTCAGGGGGAATGTCCTTGGGTGTAGTTTTCCGGGGGTAATTTTCCGGGGAATTTAAATTTGAATTTTGAACTTGAATTTGAAATCGAATTTAAAATTCGATGCCCCTAATTATAAGATTTGTTTGGTATCGGAAAGAAAACATTGAAAATAAGCGGGAAAAGTCATGACTTGTAAGTTCTTGCTAATACCTTGACATTATCAAGGTTTGGAGAGCCGGGTAACGTATTTCATGGCATTTATCATTTGACTGGAGGTGACAAGCGAGAATTTGTAATTTATGAATTATATGGAAAAAAAATCATTTCATTCAAAAAATTCATGCGATAATCAACTGCTTCATGTTATTTTATATCAAACTTTTGACCACTTTATCTAATCAATTTATTCATTTATTTATTTATGTATTTATTCAGTATTTTTACTAATTTGTTTTTATTATTCATCTATTCATTCATTTATTCTTTAATTCCTTTGATGTATTTACATATTTGTTCATTTACTAGGTTTTGTTTGCAAAACTATCATAAGAGTAGATTTATTCAAATCACAAAAATGCGTGTGCATACTTTTCATCAAAGCCTTACATGCTTACATTTAAATTGAAGTTGACTGAATGTGTAAATACATAGCATAACAGCACAATGACCCTATGCTTATAAGGTGGCATTATGTAACAAAATGTAACATGTACATTTTCCGGTTTTTAATATTGTTATTTAAATAAAGACAAACAAACCAACAATCATGTATGTCTGAGTACTTAAAGACGGAAATGATATTGCCCCAAGTGGCACAACAACTCTTTTATTTCAAACTCTATTAAACAAACCAACGAAACAAACAAAAAACAAAGAACAAAGCAAAGAGGCCTATCTCATGATATTCGGAACGGTCTCTGTTCTATGATATTCTTTGTATTGAATTTATTAATGAAGTTTGTTTTTTATTTGCCTTATCAGAGGATTTATAAGTTATACATGGTTTACATTCAAAGATACAATAATACAAATCAAACTTACTTAATCACAAAAGCATCATACTTGGCATAACAAAGAAATGAATTAGGTTTTTGCAAAGCATACTGATAATTTTATTCCCCCCCCCTTTTTTTTTAAATAACACGTGACAACTTTTTTGGTAAAAAAACAGGTGCTTTCTGGTCGTATTGATATTTGACTGACCTTCCGACCTTTTTATAATTTCTCTTTGGAAAATTTGTTAGGAAGCAACGATTCTTGTGTCTACTCCTGTGACATTCCGATCGACAATCAATTTGTAAATGGTCCAAAAAGCTATAGATAGGAATAAAGTACAATGATTTTCACAATTAATATGAGCATTAGGTTTGCATTCCATAAATGCGTGATTTATATCATCTTATATATTACATTGTGGGCATACATCGTCATTAGATATTCCCCATTTGAAAAAAATACTTTTTACTGGCAATAGATTATTTAGTAATTTCAAGTTAAAGGTACTTAGTAACATTGTGATGGTTGATTTCACAAATCTGTTGAATCAGGATGCAAAACACGTAAAATTATGTTTGTATGTAAGGATTATCCAACTACGATGCCCCAAATCCGAAATTAATTCACGCAATATGAAGATTTTTAACAAAGTTCAACGGGTTTTCGAACGGGCGTCGATGTGCGGCGCTTCTGAATCTAAATTCTCCCAACCATTTTTGAATTTTCCCAACCGTTTTTCCATGAAAAAAAGACATAAAAACAGACTATAAAAAATCTGTCAACACCATTCACGTAAAATGTAATTAAATTGTTATAATATAGTTGGGAGAATTAAGGAATCGATCGGATCAGTTTTTCCCAATTTGTACCATGAATAATGGTCCGTTTTCGCTCAAATTTCAGATAATCTTTAATTGTACATCTAGCATTGAAGTCACTACCTTAGCACCACTATCTCTCATCTGAACAATGTTACAAAGTCCCTTTAAACTCCCGCTTTGCACCCTTGTAGGAGTTGTGAGTCACACGAGTAGAACCCCATCCCACCCCCCCCCCCCGCGTGCTATTTCTCTCTCTCTCCCTCTATCTCTTTCTCTCTCTCTCTCTTTCTCTCTCTCTCTTCTCTCTCTGGTTTCGATACTACCATGCACGTTTTGTAGAAAACCCAAAAGTCCTATACCTACTACAACAAGTTTTTGTTTTTTGTTCTATAAACTTCTTATCCCAAGGTCCTTTGGTATACAGTATACAAGTCCACAACCTTGATGTCATGGTACTTTGGTCATCTGGAAAGTTAAGATCTGAGTAGGGGCTTTTTAAAGTAATTTTAACTGATCCATATCGAACATTAATTCATCCGATCCGAGTAGATTAGGAGACCATCAGTGACCTGAATAACCTCAGTACCATGTTCGTCGATTTGCTACCCGGGTTCAAAGGTCTATTAATCCGATGGCTTCCTCGTCGAACAGGAGATGATCCATGACTTGACACACCTGTCTCGGTTCTGATACCCTCCGATTATCTCATCCTGCGTCAATTGAAAGACTAACTTCCTCGCATGAACCTCGCCACCATGTTTTCCAATCTGGTGATTGCATCGGGACATGGGTCCCTTTAGCTCTGGCCTCCTCATCAACCAGAAGACGATCCACTATTTGGCACATCTGTCTTGGTTGTAACAGCCAATCTTCTTTGGTGGCAACCACAAACCCTTGCTTTTTCCACTCAAAGTATTGGTTATACAGCTCATCGTTCTCGTCTAACTTATGAAGGTAAAGCGCTAGATCTTTGATGGACGCGAAATCCCCTACATGTATAAAAGAATTGGGAGGGGCTACAGCTTCATAATCTATGCGAGGTGGTCCAAACACGACCGGGATCAAGTCGTTCAGGTAAGCATTATTCCAGAGTTTCTCTGAGATATAGTGTCTGCAAGGTGAATTCTCAAGGGCCAGGTAGAACTTGTGCTTTCGTAGGGTCTCCGCACAGAGATCTGAATTAGGTATTAGCGTACAGACAGAAGTATCTCCACATTTACCATAGATGTTGACTGGAATATGATCTGAGAGCACTGATACAAAATCATATCGCATCCAATGTAAACTATCTGTATTAAAACAGTTAGAGGCTAGCCAGACCACCTTATTAGTTTTACCCGAAGCCCAGTTCTTTCCTTCAAGTGCAACAGCACTCGGAGCACTTGTGTCATACACACCGTAGGTCCCATAAAGCTGTGATAAGTCCTTTCGGTAAGTCATGATGTAATCATATGTATTAGAATATCTATCTAAAGGAGGAATGGCTCCAGTCCGAGTGTTTAACGGACTTTCATGTGAATAGAATATCCACTTCTGGTTTTCAGGTCTATGGGAATACATCTCATCCCAGTCCCACTCCGTCCGATGGAACAAGAGAACTGCATCACTGTCCTGCATTGTTTTGAAACTAGTATCCTGTACCGACCTAATCCCACACGGAAGACCTGGACAGGAGTAGTTTCCTACGTGCCTGTAACCTTCGGCCCATATATGCACCTGTCGATAGCACCCCTGTGAGTAGAATGTTGTCCCATCGTCTTTCCATAGCAGTGGTATTCTCCAGGATGTCCGAGATGCACCTATCTGACCTGGCTGGGAAAGCCTACCATCTCGTACATAATCCTGCAACTCACAAGTACCTAACACGTGACAAGGAAATTGTTTCCGTTTATGAACCAAATGCTCATCTTCCTCTACCATGATAACGCCATCCCATTCTTTAAGCTCATAGATTTGGTACTCAACGACTACGCAAAGTATCACCCAGCCAATGATAAATATCACCAGGACCTGAAGGAGGTTTGCACGATAAATCAAACCATGAATGATCGGGAGACGTCTTCGGCCAGCTGTCTGATGCATCGTGAATCTGGAAGAAAAAAACGGCGAATGAACGTAGAGATTAAACACAAGTATAACTAAATAATTTGCTGTATATTCTATTCTGAGTTTTTATATTGTCTGTAATATGCTTGATTTCCATGCTCATCCTGAAAAATAACCAATAGGACACTTTTTCACTTTAATTATCACCTATATTATTATGGTTCCTTTCAGTGAAAACAGTCTTTGATACTTGTATTTAAATAACGCTGACACAGAGTCCATATGCTTAATATTATTCTTTTATTACATGTTTACTTTTATAGGCCGCAACCATGGCATTGGAATTGTTAGTTGTTTAGGTACTAAACTCGGTTTCACTTTAGTTTATTTTTCATATATCAATATGATATCATAACCATTTAAATACAATTTAAATGATTTGACATACACATTCAACAACAAAACATAGATAGATCTCAAGAAAATAATCTTTGTAATGTTTACAATATCAATTAGCAAATGAATAACTGCAGAGATAAGGCATGGAGAACTCTATGTTTCATTTTATATTTGCTATATTTACATCAGATAATGATTTTAAAAGGACCCCGTAGACTACAATAATGCTCCCTGTGTAGGCGTATCCCCCTTCTGTGTGTGTGCGTCTTTCTCACTGTCTCTCTCTCCCTCTCTCTCTCTCTCTCTCTCTCTCTCACTGAAACACACCTCCTCCCCCTCCCCCTCTCTCTCTCTCTCGCACACGCGAGCGCACACCTCCCTCTCTCTCTCTCTCTCTCTCTCTCTCTCTCTATCTCTCTCTCAAACACCTAAACCACACACGCGAGCGCACCTCTCTCTCTCTCTCTCTCTATCCATCTCTCTCTCAAACACCTAAACGACTGACCTCTACACACATGCGAGCGCACACACCCCCACCCCCTCCCTTTATACCCCCCCCCCCTTCTAGCTTGTCACCATGCTTTTTACTGAAATGGTCTCGACCCTATTCCCCATGTTGAACATTATGCTGATAAGCCTTTGTATAGGCCTGCTACTTAGTTTTCAGTATTAATGGCCAACTAGCCTATAATCCCCATTAGCCGAGACTCATAATAATCATACATGCCTCTTACCACTAAAATAATGAATACGATCAATGATATAAATAAGTAAATCATAACTAAGAAATACATGTAGAACGTACATACCTGGGCAACTGTAGACACACATGTGAACGTTATACATGTACCATGGACTTTACCGGTTATATAAATGCATATGCAGATATATGTCATGGCCTTTCCGCATGTATATACACCAGCTGCGAGTTATATATTCAAACACAGACTTTACGGTATAGTATATGAAAAAGACACGTGTATAATTCATACACGGAAATATGTAACAATATTCTTCATTGGAATAGCGAATGCTTTGCCACGAATCGAGATGTGTTCATTATGTTTGCGGGGCAGGCCTCAAGCAGGCAGCGCAGTCATGCATGGCCATCCGTTCACACTGACACCGGACGTATATAGGTGTAGAAACAGCAGGAGTTGTAGTATCGATGTAGTATCGATTAATTTTTTAGGGGGATACACATACATGCATGTAAATCACAGGATAATGAGGGTTTTGTTTAGTTCTTCTGTGCCGTCCCATTACTACAGCTGAATTTTTGAAACTTACATAATGGAATATAATGGTTATGCTTGAAGGTAAAGACCAGTTTTGGAAACGCCCCCCTCTCAAAAAAATGAAATGGAAGCTCTTATTACCAATCATGTGAAAGAATATGTTTTGACTAATACGTGATACAAATTTTGCCGGGAAACCGCCTACTAAGTTTGGTAAATTATTATATCTATTCGGACTGGATAGATATAGGGTAGTCCCATATACATCTTTCTGTGTACAGGTGCTTGTAACTTTACCAAGACTGGGCCAAATTTCTTATCATTTTGATGATTCCGGAACCTGCACAGTACACACCAATACTTATATGCTAAATGATCAACCTTTTCTGATCGATTTCACAACGTTTCTTTCACAATGCAATCGCATGACCAGAGCTGGTCTATATACCTTTAAATTTAATAGAGGAGGAAAAAGCGTCACACTCCCGACCCCCCCCCCCCCCCCTTATAAGCGCCAAAATCAATCGCAGGCTAGTATGGGCCTAGATATAAGTATCGTAATATTACAAGAAATGTGTAAATGAGGGTAAATGCGATCGCATGAAGGAGAATGACACGAGAGGACAAGAGGGCTCCCAGGGAGTGATATTCCATTATTTTTCAATTTCCCTGCAATTTCGCTGCTTCCCTCTCATGGGAAGCCTTTTCGGAAGCTCTTCTTCAAGTGCGTGTATCCCGTATCACTATCATGATCATCTCTAGCCCTTTTACGATACCTCTGCCTGCCAGTGGGTGGACATTCAAAGCCAGTGTACTTTTTAACCCCGTTTGCTACCCCTCATGCAAGGAGAATGTTATATCATTCTACAAATCCGTATATCATCAATCCGATACTTGTCTTTCCCTTTGTCATGTGTGTCAAGGGAGAACAGTCCCTTCATACACTCCTAGAACATACCAGCTATGGCATAACAATTTCAGATTTGAAACGTAAAATGTGAATTAAAAACGTAAGCCAATATGATAGAAAGGACAGCAAATTAAATCTCTTTCGTGCCTCATTCATCTTTGGATGGATAGGTTTAAGACATAATGAAACGAATCATCCAAAAGCTTATCAAGAACCCTACTTTAAAAAAATATCTTAAAATCCAAAGATGCAGTTTCGGTATAGACTACACCTTGATTGACTTAGTATTTTTTAATCCTGAAACAGATGTAGGAGTTTATACAGCTTTTAGGAAAATTGTAAAATCTGGAGGTTTTCTTGTCAGCGAAATCAGTTTATAGAGAGCTTCCACATTCAAAATATTTGCGCATGGATCGTGGTCGCGACCTTCGTGGTCTGCGCATGTGTACTAGGGATCTTCAATGAATGATTGCTTATGAATTATACAACACAGAGTATTCCGTTTTAAGCAAATTTGTCACGCTTTGCAGCAATTATGGCGAAAAGTACATCTATACTAACTTTTAACTACCCGTATCTGAGCATAAAAGGATCTCAAAATAACAAAATTGGCAAGATTTCCATGAATAATTAGCACGAAATCTCTTATTCTAGTCTCTCGGGACAGTGTCTTATCGTGTCAAAGTACTTTTGTTGTATTTTTTCTCTTATAAACTAGATAATAATGCTTCTTAGCTTTGAATATTTTTTTGTTCGGTCTATATTGCGTTATAACATACTTCTAAATTGGGAGGATAACTTAAGTAAAATGAAGACAAGCATTTACAGACGCTTTAATAATAATGGTCTTTTAGTCTAGAAAAAACGAGAAACCAGGGCTGTCGTATTGCTTGCCCGCCTAATAATGATAGTTGGGAACACTTTTCGTATATAAGTACAGAGCAGAGCTGTAATGGGTAGGTACATGTATTCATGAAAAAACGGATAATGTCATCTAATCATTGGGAAGAGAATTGTTCTCGGATTAAAGTCAACTGCAAAGGAGAGATTGAGAGAGAAAAGCTAGAGCGACTGTCGTCTGGTGTGGCACCGAGTGTACATACAGAAACAAACGGGGTATTAGAAAGAGGGAAGAGAGGGAGAGAAAGGGTGAAGCAACATTAAACACAAAAAAATAGGCTTATAAGAGAAGATCAATATAACCGACATGCAATTAAAGTTTTTAAAAAATTGAGAATGAGGAAATGGAAGCGTAAAACAGAAATAAAATCTCCCGTTCCTTAAAGGAAATCACGGCAAAGTTAAAATAGGTATAACCAAACTAAGCAATTTCGAAGGAAAGAAAATCAAGATAATATACATCGCAAGGGAGGAAGTCCCCTTTCCTCCGAACCAGCATGCGATACAGAAGAGATGCCACAGCCCTCTGTGCAGGCAGGAGACAAGGGGAGAAAATGACACCTCGTATGGTCCCCCACAGCGCTCCTCAATTTTGGGCATAATTTGTGAATGTCCGTCGCGTTTGACAAAAATTCGTGTTTATGAGTTGCAGACGGTAGCAGAAAATACATCATGGGATTATATCTTCAACAGTTAAAAACGCTTTGCAGATGTAAGAAATTCTAGCAATAACCTCCCCTTTTCCCTGGTAGCACAAACAACATAATCTAATGTATTCATCGGCATTTAAAAAGATCACATTGCCCTGGGAGGAATGATGTTTTTGCTGGAAACATTAGTTTCCTGTCAACAATCAAGTACCTCCATAATCATAATAATAATGATAATAAAATAATAAGAATAATAACTATTTAAAAAAATAATAATGATAGGCCTATATATATATATATATATATATATATATATATATGCGTCCCAGAAAAAACGAAACCGAGAACTACCGATGTTTTATCATAACTTAATCACAATTATAATTAATAAATGACACATATTTGGAAAGCTTAGATCCTCCTCTTTCATTTGATGCAACTCATATGATGCATATTTCACGCAGTGATTAAAAGCATTTGAAGAGAGGAAACCAAAAAGTCATTTGGCGGGTGGTATCTGAATTTCAAGGAGAAAAGTACATTTCAGCCATGCACAAAGACGACGAAAGGTCTTCCGTCTTCTTTGTGCATGGCTGATCGTCAACGAAACAGAGTTAAGTCTTTTGTCAACTCTGTTTGTTGCAACGGCAGGTAGCCAGTGAAAACGAACTCGTTTGACTAAATTAGGGAAATGCAAGCATTACTTTAAAAAAACAGAACTCTGTTATTCCTGGCTCATTTTTCCTGATTGAGGTGTCATATATCAAAGAGCAGAAATTGAAATTTCTAGAAATGTAATTTTCTCCTTGAAATTCTGATACCGCCCGCCAAATGACTTTTTGGTTTCCTCTCTTCAAATTGCTTTTAATCACGCATGCGTCATATGCATCATATGAGTTGCATCAAATGAAAGAGGAGGATCTAAGCTTTCCAAATATGTGTCATTTATTAATTATAATTGTGATTAAGTTATGATAAAACATCAATAGTTCTCGGTTTCGTTTTTTCTGGGACGCACTGTAATATATGTCAGAGTTGAGAATTCTCGCACTTTTATATATATATATATATATATATATATATATATATATATATATATATATATATATATATATGTATATATATGTATATATATATATATATATATGTATATATATATATATATATATATATACATAATATATATATATCTCAGTCACTGTACATGACTGTGAGCGCTTAGGTCGGTTGGAATTGATTAAAACGCTTTGTAAGAAACAGTTGCTGTTATATCAGGAACGGGAACAATAATAATCACAAACTAATTTGCTCTGTGAGAAATTATCGTTTACTGACTCAAATCATCGTTTCATAAGCATGTCCCTTTGGTCTTACCCTCCCCTGAATATATTATATTAATATCATTCTTTCTGAAGTGTTTGTAAAATAATATCTCTTGTGATAACGATATTCATAGTAATAAGAGTACAGCTACCCGGTGTATATGGATGTCCATGTGGAATAGCAATGAGATACTCGCAATATTAAATCGTGAATGCCCTGTTTCTATACCGCTCACATTTCGTGCTAGCTTACATCATTCTGTGTGCATCCTACATCTCGCTAATGTGCAAATGATTGACAAACAGTCGTTTAATGGGAGAGTCTCCCCTCCCCCTTAACAAATAAGAGAAGGATGATAGTGTGCTGTCATGCACAAGCGCGTAGCTAGGATTTTATTTTAGGGGGGTGGTAGTGAGCACGGTAGTGTGAATCACTTACAGAGCGCGCGAAGTGCGGAAGCTTTGACGTTTTATTAAATTATTAGAGTAAGAAGACGATTAGTTGTACCATTCTCGCCTCTTAATCCTTGTCTGAATTCAGTTTCCCCAACTCATCCCGCGCGAAGCGCAGAAGCTTTGACGTTTCATTTAATTATTAGAGAAAGAAGACGATTCCTTGTCCGAAGTTTCAAAAATGTTTCTTTGTCTGCTCCTTTTTCTTTTCTCTCTCCCCCCCTCTCTCTCTCTCTCTCTCTCTCTCTCTCTCTCTCTCTCTCTCTCTCTCTCTCTCTCTCTTTGGCCGGCGTTTTTTTTTTAGGGGCGATCGTCCCACCCCCCCCCCCCCTGGCTACGCGCTGGTCATACAGAGTTAATTACATTAAATGATTGCAAACCTGTATCAAGAAGTTGTGAGTACCGTACATTATGTATCATACATTTTTGAGAATTTGCTGACATTATTGAGGTTTCAAATTCTTAATTTCACAAAAGCATTCGATGTTCCTTTGATTTATTGAATGTCTGGAATTAATCCAACATTGAGTATTTGGTCCTATTTTCGATTAGGCATTAATTAATTTCTAAAACCATTTTTCGAGTCCATTA